ACCCTTTCACCCGTTTAGAATGACATACGCGGATTAGCACTTCGTCTGATATTAATTTCCTTTACATTGTAGATCCACCAAATCAGCAAAAACTCGAAACTCCATGTTCGTGTACAGGGATAATAGCAGGATCCACAGTAGGCACCCTTCTTCTTACCCTGCTCATCGGGGGAATTGTTCTGATGGTACTGTACAGAAAGGGCTACAGACCTAGGCTCGGGCATGTTTTGACAGGTATACAGTTAACATTCCATTGTAAAATGATTGTCAACAGGAATAATTGCATAGTGATTATCCATGATATTGATTAATGCTTTTGATTGAATGATTGTCAGGCCTAGGATTTCCTAATTTGCATGTATTCGACATTAATGTTGACAGAAAGGACACATTGGTCCCAACACATGTTTGATTAAAGGTTGCTATTTATATGTTAATATGCAGTCGTTTACACTTTACTTGATCTTTGCCACTGTAGGTTTCCTTTATGAATGATGAGTTTTGTTGTCATGTGTGATGTGTGTTTAACATTATGTACCATGTGGCTATTTTTCTTTTCCAGAATCTGCATTACGAAAAAGGTACTATAAATGTCAAAGTTAAAGATAACATCGTACGGAATATGTGAAAATAGTAAATAAGGTAAAGAGTAATAACAAGACAACTAAAAACGTATATCGCATGCTGAAGTTAATCACTACATTACACTATGTGTTTTTAGAAATCGACCTATTATTTTTGCAGCAGCAGGAATCCTGAAACTGTAGAAATGGACAACAGAGGGTATTCATCATTAGGTATGTACAAGGTACTGGGTGTTTCCCTTTTGCTGAAATTACCATTATGTATGGAACTGTTTTGCACTGAAGTCAATACAATATTTTCACATTGTTTTGTTTCAGATCAAATAAATGGTCCAGTCCAGTATTCAAATTTGGAGGAATCAGAAAAACAACCGTATTCACAGTTGAAGATTTATGAGAATACAAAAGGTGGATATAGATTTTGCATTTTTCCTAGGTACTGTATAAGTTTAAGCATTCCAGTGAAGGTAATATTGAAGTGATAGTTAGAAGAAGGGAGTTGTGATTCGGATTTGTTGTTGTAATACGTAATGAATTATATCTTCAGCGGATGCTGCAGCTGTTGCAAGCACCTATGAAGGCATGACAGAGACTCCCCCTGTGACCTATGAGTCCATCAAACCATCTCCATACCAGAACACTGGAGCACATTCTCAAGGTAACCAAAACATGAAACACTCTTGCTGGTTGGAATCGTATGTCATTGCCATGGACAAACTGTGGGCATGTACAGAAGAATTAAACAGAAGCATATGTCTTCTTTTCTATCCTAATGTGACACGTTTAGCATTTCATGTTATTGTGAGTGATATGAAACCTGTCATATAATCTGTGTTTACTTACATGTAGTTCTATACTTTTCAGGTCCTGACCATGACAATAAGTAACAAAGAAGGAAGACATCATTATATCAGATCCAGTTACAGACCAAGGAACACGTGCAATATATTACATTCCTTTCCTTTGAGTCAAAACATCGTTAGACCCGTGAAGATCCGGGGTTGTCTTCAGCAACCCGTGCCTGCTGTAAGAGGCGACTACATTTGTTATAAGAAGCATCTAACGGAATCGGTTGGTCATGCTCGCTGAGTTGGTTAGATCGGTGCTCATGATCAGTGGATTGTCCAGTCCAGTCTCGATTATTTACAAACAGTCATTATATAACTTGAATATTACTGAGTGCGGCATTAAACAACAATCAAACAACAAAAGTTATTACTCACTTCACGTTTTCATTACATTGTTTTATGTTTGCTCGATAAAAGCACAGTTACAGGAGCTCAGTCAAATTTTGTTTGTTATGCTCATGTCGGTATATGTATTGCCTTTGTCACTGAATATGTCAAATAGCAAATAAACATATTTCAAAATAATTTGACAAAACACTTTGATGATAACGTTAACATAATGGAAACACTTTAGTTGAAATATTGTTATCAGTGTCAGATTTCTGGGACTTTAACCTGGTTCTATTACATGTTGCGAAGCAGCATATGTTGTTGAACCTAAACGAGGAAGCCTGATCAGCCAGGTTTTGTTTTTAGTTTTAACATACAGTCGTATAAAGTCAGGTAATGTCATCACTTAACCAGATGCCAGTACTGCAATAATATGATAAATAATTCACCTTAATTCAGGAGGTGAGGTGATGTGAACTGGTGTTTGACGTCGCAGTAGTATTGCCGTTATTTAGCGACGTGCATTCGAGCGTGTGTGTGTGCGTGTGTGAGCGTGTGTGCGTGTTTAAGTATATGCCTGTGTGAGTAAAGAGTGTGTATGTGTATACTTGTTTGTACAAGTCATAACTACAGACCGCCATTGACAGCCCACTGAGATACACTGCCTTGTGTTAACATGGATTCCCCACTCAGAAACAGTATCCTGCCTCTGAGCCACCGACAAGGACTTGTTTTATCTTTAAATGCCGAGCACCAAGCAGGGTAACAACAAGTTCCATTTTTAAAAGTTTTTTTGGTATGGCACGACAAGGGATCAAACCACAGACCTTCCGCTCTCTGGGCAGACCTTCTGACCATTAGATCACAGAGGCAGAACAAAAAAACACGAATATCACACAAGTGGCAATGCCTACCACAACTCTCACTGTGATGTTTACATTGCTATAAACTGCCTCTTTATCAGTTGATGTGGTTACAGGGCACATTACTAAAACTGTGGTGTGTGTTGGAAACATTGATTTCTTCTTGAATGTACGGATGTTATAACCTGTAGGTGGGATATAACATTTGGATAGATTTGTTTCCAAGTCAGACGAACGACAAATGTAACAACAGTAACATGCACAGTGGGGCCATTGGCTTTGTGAACATAAGGACTAAATCAGTGATGAGTGGTTTATTGTCACATATAGATCTAGAAAAGATGAAAGGCTCGGATGAGGATGACTGAGAAGAGGACGATGATTTGGAGGATTCAAAAGCTGACTTTATATGGGTTGCCCCATTGCCAAATAATCGTGGCAGTAGTTTTGTGTTTGTGATGACAGACGTGTTTTCCAGGTATCTTCAGCTGAAACAACTGAGGAGGGAAAAAAAACGAATATAACTTCATTGATTTCAGAAATATGATATTGATTATGAAACAAACAGGTACTCTGTTCATGCTTTTCCGAGATTATGAATACTGAATAACTATTTTGAATAAAGCTCACATGTGAACAATATTGCTTCTGTAAATTTACAATATTTCCCACAAACCCAGGCGATAGTTCTAATGCACACACTGATGTCAGTTTATAGAAATCAAACATTCCGATATGTGACTTATGCTAACCATGACTTTGAAGAAGTGAGTGAGTGAGTATGGTTTTATGCCGCTTTTAGCAATATTCTACCAATATCATGGCGGGGGACACCAGATATGGGCTTCACACATTGTACACATGTTGGGAATCGACCCCGGGTCTTCGGCGTGACGAGCGAACGCTTTAACCACTAGGCTACCCGACCGCCCCTGACTTTGAAGAAAGATATGTAACATAGTTTGTAATGTGTTCAGTGGGTCCACGTGTTGGATAACTCCATATACTCGAGTCACCTCTTAAGGTCAGCATTGCTATGTTGTTTCATAACATATAGCCAGTGTCATTCTGAAAATGATTTCAGTGGCCAGATGATCAAGATTACACATTTCACTTGTTCAATAACCAGTGTATGAATACATAGGCTAAACTGTATTTATATGTTTGCTTGTTTGTGTGTTTGTTTATTTGTTTATTTATTCATTTACATAAACATGTGTAACTGACACAGTTTGTTCTCCTTCCTGCAACAACATTCCGGGCTGATGTATTGAAAATTGTGCGCAGCCCCTTTTAAGACAAAGGAGAATAGTATGATATACAACGTCAACGCAAGAACATAACCAGTCTCGATTATCTGCAAACCAAATTCCTCGAGGCGTAAAAGGCAAAATAGCAGCGGAAAATTATTTGAATGGATTACTGAAAATCAGTGATGACACAAGGTGTGCGCCAAAAAGCCCTGATCGACCGGTAGCACACGTCACTCACGCAAATTGCAGAAACAAAGTAATCGTTTGTTTGTTGCCTGACGCTGCACGGCAGTATAACTTCCCCACCTGCTTGGTTATAACATTAATGGGTACTCGTCTGTAACACGTCTACACAGACACCTACAATCAATACGTATACACTGTGTCCCAGCACCAATACCTGCTAGTTTGTTGCCTGACGCCGCACAGCAGTATAACTTCCCCACCTTCTTGGTTATAACATTAATGAGTACTCGTCTGTAACACGTCTACACAGACACCTACAATCAATACGTATACACTGTGTCCCAGCACCAATACCTGCTAGTTTGTTGCCTGACGCCGCACAGCAGTATAACTTCCCCACCTTCTTGGTTATAACATTAATGAGTACTCGTCTGTAACACGTCTACACAGACACCTACAATCAATACGTATACGCTGTGCCCCAGCACCCTTACCTGCTAGTTTGTTGCGTGGTTGTCCAAGTCGTTTGAGTCACCATGCAATGAATATCCAGAAATTCTGAATGAATACAAACTGAGAACTATTTCATGTCTACACAGACCCATACAATCAGTAAGTTCACACAATTACCAAGTGACAATATCTGATATGTGTAACACACGGCCTAGTTTAATGGGTGAACGTCTGAGTGACATAAATAATTCTGTGAATATATAGATATTCTGAACTAATACACACTAAGAACTATATTATGTCTACATAAGCCTGTTCATGCAAGCCGGGTGTATATATAGATTGTAGTTCAACGCCAGTATCTATTTCCTACACACGACCTTGTTTCACACACTGCTTTCATGTATAAAACTAAAAACTATACCACGTCTACTTTAGTCAGTACAGGCAACCTGGAAGTAAATATACCCTGTAGTTCAGCGCCAATATACATTACGTGTGACACCCGACCTAGTTTCACACACAGCCGACATGGGCATGCTGTACACCCGTCTCATCCTCACAGTTGGAGCTCTCTTGGTGGACATATGTCACAAACACGTGGGTAGGTACACTATCTGACTGCTTGTGGTTTATGTGTGTTAATATTATTGCATTAGGGGTAACGAAATGAATCTCACACTCAGTTCCCACATAAACAGTCGCTGAAAATAGAACCAGGAAGTAGACTGCACGTATATGTCAGTGCGTAAGGACACGCCTGCAGTTATGTACATCTACCTCCGCATGTTGATAATAAAGTGAGTGAGTGAGTGAGTTGGGTTTAACGCCGCTTTCCAGTGACATCACGGCGTGTCAGCTTAATTCGGGAGGAAAGCCCGGAGTGATGCAGGTCTCAGACGTTTACCACTTCGGTGAAACCCACGAGCAAGGGTATGGTGCTGACAAACCTAGAAACATAATCGGGGCGAACCGGGAATCGAACCCACAATCATAGGTTTCTGGCGTGCCCAAGGGACGCAACTCTGCACAGCGAATCGCGGCGCCTTAGACGACTGGGCCACCCGTGCCCCATGTTGATAATAAAGAGTGTGGTATATACATGTGGTTTACTAGTTATGAACATAAGGCATACAAAGGAATAAAACAATGACAATCTCGTTATGTAGAAATAGTTAGTTTTGTCAGGTCCTAACAGCATGCTTTATTTATCTGCACATGAAACGGGATAACGATAATTGTTTATAATTATAAAGAATCAGCTAGTCGGTTTGGTTTAACGCTGGTTTGAACAGTATTTCACTTACAGATCAGCGTGTCAGCTTGATGAAGGAGGAAAGCCAGAATGTATGTCTTACGCATTCACTTTGGTGAAAGCCACGAGCGTAGGTGTGGTGCTGACAAACCAGGAGACATATTGAGGGTGAACTGGAATTCGAACCCAGGATCATATGTTTCTGGCACGGCAAATGGAGGCAACTCTACAGAGCAAATTGGGGTGTCGTAGACAGCTGAACCACATGTTGCCCCAAACCGTGTATGAATGAGACATCAGACGTGTAGTAAAAGATAAAAGCAGTTGAATCCGTCAGATAAGTGGAAAAGCGGAGTGCAGATATTTTTGCCTATAATAGTCCTTTATTGCCATTCTGATTTTGTTCGCAAGTTGTTATTTTCAAGTAGCTTACAAGCATAAAGCTTATGTCAATATCTCGGAACATCGGGTTAGACATCGTTCTGTGAACCTCAATGTAACATCTCACAACATATTTACTACGGTTTCAGTTACTGCCCAAAACTATCAGCTGATGTCATCATGTGGGGGATCTGTGCAGGCAGGGGGAAGCTGTACCCTGATGTGTTACACAGGAGAAGCTTCACATACAACTATAGTGTGGCAGAATGGAACTACATTATTCAGAGTAAGCCAGGGTAGCTGCAGCTCCACCTCCCCTTCTCTCCCAACTGACTACATCACCTCCTGCCCCAGCTCCACCAACTACACCCTCACCATCAACAACACCGTGTACGACAGAGGCAGACTCAGCTGGAGGTGTGACTATCAGTTTGGAGGCAGACCTAGCAGCCAACTAAACATAAGTGTTTTAGGTAAGTACGTTCTATGGATGTTTGCTTAAACTTCGGTATGACTTTCAGTATGTATACAGTAACCCGATACAAAAAGATGTATCAGGTAAGTATGTTATGTGGATGTTTGTTTAAACTACAGTATGACTATCGGTATGTATAAATTTACCCGATACCAATGGATGTATCAGGTAAGTATGTTCTGTGGATGTTTGCTTAAACCACAGAATGACTTTCAGTATGTATAGAGTAACCCGATACAAATGGATGTATCAGGTAAGTATGTTCTGTGGAGGTTTGCTTAAACTACAGTATGACTATCAGTATGCAGGGAGTAACCAGATGCAAATGGATGAATCAGGTAAGTATGTTCTGTGTATGTTTGCTTAAACTACAGTATGACTTTCAGTATGTGTAGAGTAACCATATACAAATGGATGTATCAGGTAAGTATGTTCTGTGTATGTTTGCTTAAACCACAGTATGACTTTCAGTATGTATAGAGTAACCCGATACAAATGGATGTATCAGGTAAGTATGTTCTGTGGACGTTTGCTTAAACTACAGTATGACTATCAGTATGCAGGGAGTAACCATATACAAATGGATGTATCAGGTAAGTATGTCAGGTGACCATCACCACCATCGGCTAAACCGCGTTATTGGTGGTTCGAGAAGGGAGCTAACTCCGTTTGCCATATTTTCAGGCTTATATCGCCACCAACACTTATGATTAGATTTATGTGTTATACTGAAAAAAGTAGAATGCGTGGTATTGCCTCTGTAAATTTAATTTGAAGTAGATTTAAGTTTATTGCTTTAATTGTAGCTATTTTTGTAAAACTAGTGTGGTCACCTATGATGACGTTATTCAAACATCAAAGATTTTTGTGCCATTCGTAGAATTAACGTCACATGAAATGATTTATAAAGATATTTCCCATCAATATTACAAAATATGAATAATATATAATGTCACAAACCAATGCAAAGTAATGACAAATGTGAGCCCACTAGCCTAAATGACTTCTCCTCAATGAAACCCAGCGATTTACAAATGTTGGCCCACCTGTTTCGATCACTATAAGACGGGAACAATGTGGGCCCACATTTTAGAAAATGGTTATAAGTAAGCCAAGCTAATGAAGCTCAGCGATTTTTTAATGTGGTCCCTCCTGTTGCACTATGACGGAAGAACGTCTACCCACTAGGCGATATTCAAATATGGGCCCACTTGTTTCGATCACCATATATGACGGGAACTCTGTAGGCCCATGATTATCAATATTTCAGTAGAATTTCGCGAATAATAAATGTGGTCCCTCCTGTTGCAAGCAATATGACGAAAGAACGTCTGCCCACAATTTGGGAACTGATTATCAGAACTAACGAAACAACCTAACGAAACTAGGCGAAATACAAACGTGGGCCCACTCGTTTAGGTCACCAAAGATGACGGAAAAGATGTGGGCCCACATTTTAGAAAATGGTTATCAGCACTAAACCAATCTTAGAAGATGTACGGATGGAAACATAAATATAATGCATTTAAACATTTAATTAAGAATACGTTTTAACGTAGGGATATGCTGGGCATTTTATAACTGGACCAACAACGCAAAGCGTCGGTGACGCCATTACTCGCAAATACGAAAACAACGGAGAAATTAGACTGACCTCCCTTTCCCAATATGAACCACTGATATTGCAGTTTCGCCCCACCATCCTACATAGATACACCAAAGATAAAGCTATGTTATTATGTCAGTTCCCGGAACATTGTTACCATGACTAGACCTACAACATATATCACCTGTTTCTCCAACTCATTACAATACTTCATAAAACTATGTTGATATTTCAGTTCCAGTAATCAGTGTCACATGCACTAGTCTCCAACCCACCGTCGTCTTAAATAGATACCAACACTTTATAAAACTATGTTATTATTTCAGTTCCTCTGAGCAATGTTACCATCACAAGAACTACAATGTCTATATCCTGTGTTGCTGTCTCCAATCCACCGCCGTCCATAACGCTGTACAGAGACGGGGTCAGTGTGGCCACCAGCCCAGTAGCAGTGGAGGGATACACTGGCTGGACAGCCACCATCAACTACCAGCTGACAGGCAACAGTGGGAACTCCCTGTACTACTGCCAGGCATCCAACACACAGACAAGTGTCAACTCCACGTATTCCTATCCTGACAGTAAGTAATATAATAGCAATGTTCCCTCCACATCATAAATATTGTAGATAGTTACCTTTATGCCTTCGACATTACGTTATTGAATATGACAGGTGTATACACTGGTTGTGATTAATTCAATTTCTATGCAGTTGCTGTCAGCAGCGTGTCTCTCACAACCATCCCATCCGCCAACCAGGAAGTGGGAGCTGCTGAGGGTCAACCCTTGACCTTGACCTGTGTGACCTCTTCCAGTTACCCTGCTGCTACTGTCACGTGGTACAAGAACAGTGTTCCGTTGGCAAGTGGGATATCCAGTGGTCACACATCCCAATCAGGTGTTGTCCAGACAACAAGTACCGTGACCATCATCCCTGTCAGGAGTGACCTGGGCCACACAGTCTACTGTAGAGCCACCAACATCCACACCCCCTCCCCAGTACAGTCTGACAGTGCCCGGATGGGAGTGTGGTGTAAGTAGCTCTCTGATGTTAGATATTCGTATATCATTCATGTGATATCAGTCAATCAATAAATAACTACTGTTATACACATGCCATTGCCTAATTGTCGCACTGAGAGGATACAGTTGTTTGCAGTCAGGGAGTCATTTAGTCAATCCAGTAATATGACACTCAAGACAAAATATCATTGGTGAAAAGTGAGTATTTTCGTCAGCTCGACAGCGAGTCAATCTTATATTGAGGAGATCAACTCCTTCATGAGACTGAACTACGATGAATAGTAATAGATGTAGGTGTTCATGTAGGTTCAAATCATACTATATCGGATATTATATGTTGTCAAAGCAGTACTACAAATGCAGTAAGAGGTTAAGCTAACACTGGTGTCACAGGTAACTGTTCTGTATTACAGTCGGACCAGAGCAGGTGGATGTGACAAAGCCAGACAACACTGTAGCTTTAGAGAACAGAAACCTGACCTTGACCTGTACGGTCACCGCTTATCCCAACATGACCTTCACCTGGGACTACATTGATGGAACACCTGTAGGTGGCAGCACAGGGCCTGTGACAGGATCTTCTACATGGTGGTCCCAAACCCTCACCTTCAGCCCAACTAAAGACAGGACCGCAGTGAGGTGTAAGGTCAGAAACACCAAAACATCAGAAACCCAGACTGGTTCTGCATCACTTGATGTCAAGTGTGAGTGTTCATTAGTGTGCTCAGTATGTTAAGAGCAGTTCAGATTTTCATTTGAAGCACATGTGAAGGTTGTAGATCATTGTTAAACATAGGTAGCGAGCAAAGTGATATATAAAGATAATATAATCACCGACTCTTAAATGTATAGTGAACACTGTTTGATGAAAGGACTTCTTTTTTGTGGATAACACTAACTAAGCCAGTTTGTAAAATGTTCCAGATAGTGTCATGTTCTCCACTGCTTTATGTATTTCTCTATATAGTTACTATCATGGCTGTTCCTGCTTCAGACCCACCGCCGGCCCCTCCTTCCATCACAGAATTTCAGACTCTGATGTTTGAAGGAGACCCAGAGACAATCAGCTGCTCGGTGACAGGAGGAAATCCTCTAGCTACTATCACGTGGTCCTGTCCCGGCACTGGATCAGCATCGATCAGTGACAGTGGTCAGACCAGGACATCTACTCTCTCCTTCACTGTCAGCAGGAGTCAGAACAGTCAGCAGTGTCAGTGTCAGGGGGCATGGCAACATGGAGGATACAACCAATCTGATGTCAGGACATTCAATGTTAGCTGTGAGTACCTTTATCTTTTTATGGAGGGATTGGTAGGTACAATTGGTAACTCCCCCTCATTCAGTTAAGTTTGGAGTATAAAGCCTTTTTTATGTAAATGGCACCTTTATCAAGCTCATCACATGATCAAAATACAAAAGTCTGTGTTCAGTAAAAAAGAAGTCAATACTTATTTCATTTAATACTCATTTTATACTGCAGGTCCAAAGAGACAGCAACCACTCAATGCCGAATATAACATCACAGGTGTAATAGCAGGAAGTACGATAGGAACCCTCCTTCTTACCTTGCTGATTGAAGGACTAGTTCTGACTGTCCTCTATAGGAAGGGGTTCAGGTTTGGAAACATTTTGAAAGGTATGTTGTTAAATATCATGTTTACCTCACAACAGTATTGCAAGTTGAGTGAAAAGATGGTGTGGCGATATTTCATTTCAGTGTGCCTTCAGTAGATATACATGAATGATATGCGTGAAAGTTATGTACGAATCAAAATCATCACTGACTCAGAATGAGCACATACAGTTTTGGAATGTATATGGAATTAATAATAGCAGAAATTGACGATGTTTCTTGTATTAAGTCATTAACGTTTCACATTTCATATTATCCCTTTGCAACATGTTTAATGTGTGCATTACAGGGTATTATATAATGCATTCTCTTCTTTGCAGGAACTGCTTCACAAAAAAGGTAGACTAAATGTATGAATAAAACGTTTTAAAATAATTTCTTTTGTAATAAGGTAGATGTCCTCTAAAATCACAAAACAAATCATATATTGAAGATGTTCCTATCCATTATAAAATGCCATATACGGACCTCACTTTACTTTTGTAGCACAAGGAATCCCGAAATAGAAGAAATGGAAAACATAGGATATTCATCCTTGGGTAGGTTGAAGTCAGCAATGTTCGTCAGATAGATTGTTTGGTTCACAAATATGACTGTTTCTACTTCGCCCTAACACCGTTATTGTATGTTCGTATGGATTTGTTACAGATCACGTCAACAGTCCAGCTCAGTACCCAAGCGATAAAGAGGCGTCGGAAAAACAACATTACACACAGTTGAAGATTTATGAAAATACAAACGGTAGATGGATACTTTGATATTCTATATACTATAGCAGTTCTCAATCGATAAACTCAGTGAAGGTATTGAAAAATCATCGGTGTGCTATTCAACTTTGTGTTACGTTTACAAGGATGTGTAACATTTGAATTTGTTCTTTGCAAATGTGTTACGAATCACAGTTTCAGTCGAGCCCAAATCAGAGACAAGTACATACGAAGACATGACAGAAGCTCCTCCAGAGTCCATCAACGCATCTCCATATCAGAATAGCGGCGTTCAATCTCGAGGTAACCATTTTTAGAATATTTATACCCCTGAAAAGAATTGAATATATTGTACACAAGAAGCGATTTAAGTTTCAAAAACCTACGTTTCCTCTTGTTTCCTGGTGTACAACACGTTTACCCTGTCATCGTTTGACAACTTTGAAATTAGTTTCCGGGTCTTCATTCCATGTGATACAGTTTCAGATCCTGACTATGGGAACAAGTAAACAAGAAGCAGATGTGAAGATATCACTGGAAGGGAAAACACAGAGCGTGAACTGAAAATTATGTTTACCTTTCATATAGTATATTTTTTATGTCAACATATGACTGTTATCTTATAGAAGTTGCCTTTATCATTCAATATGCAAAAGAAATGGGACGCCCAAGCAGGTATCAATAAATTACATGAAATGAAACCAAATATTGGTTACACCTACTTGGGCTATCAGTCCAGATTTGAAGAGGTCATCATGCGACGATGTCATATTGGCCATTCGAGATATACCCACGAGTATTTGTTAAAAGGTGAGGATCCTCCGTTTTGTATCCTTTGTGATGAAAGAATCACGGTCAAGCATGTCCTGCTTGACTGTATTGATCTTTCCATCACAAGGGATAAATATTTCAGTGTCAAAACAGTCAAGGACCTTTTAGTAAAGTTAATTCTCATTTAATACTATGTTTTTAAAAAGAAATATAACTTATTCATCAATTTTGATGTATTTACAGTATTGTTTTAAATATTGGTAGTGCTAATTCATAACTTTGATTGTTAGTGGCTGTACCTTCAAGGGGGGTTGAAGTAGGGTAAAATTATTGTTCCCCTAAGGGGGTATGTAAGTCCCACATCATTCGAAGTATTTATATGCATGCCAGCATTTTAACATGTAGAATTTTCGTCATTTTAATGTTAGGCTTAACTGGTAAGGTATCGCCTGTGACTGAAGGGATGATATAAATCCAACCAGGGTCCATGCAGGAAGCAAAGGCACTGTAAGTCCCCATGATCCATGGTATGGTGATCTGCCTTTACTTACTGACGATCTCTAGCCCATTTTTTATATTGTTTTGTTAATTCTTTCTGCTTTAGAATTTTCCTCCACTAGTTTTAAATAGACTCTGTGATATTCTAGTTATTGTACTGTCCTTTGGTGACAGGTTTTTATGAAGTCTACATATATGTGTTATTAATGTATTACTTCTCGTCACGATATGGTTGAAATATTGCCGATGTGACGTTAAATATTAACTCACTCACTATCATTCAATATATTATTGCTTTGCATTATATTGACATATAAAAGATAGCTACGCAAAAATACACAAACGACAATGAAGAACAAAGCGTGGTGTATTACACGATAAACACATTGTTATATTATGACCTCATTTCTGGAGATTCGAGCATGCGCTCATCACTTGATGAGTTCGTATATTTGATGATGTTATTATGGAGAGGGGATCCGGAGTGTCTAGTGATTTGTGTCCCATGGATGAAGATGGACAACGCAGATAAACCCGATCGCCCAACGATGGCACCCAAAAGCGTGACAATCGGTTTTTTTGGAAAAAGGTAAAGATAATCAACTCTACGATTGCAAGAGTATACGAGATCTACCGACCTGTGCATAACATGGACATGAACGATATTGCCGTGGTCGGATTTTATTGAGGGAGTCATCATTATCGAATAATGTGTAAACGTATTTTAAAATTGCACAATTTTATCATCACTCTTCGAGAGGCTGTCAATAATATTGATATCAAATTTGCAATATAAACGATAATAATTATTGGTCGTTGTTTATCATAAAATAAAACACTGCACCCATCATGGTTTCTTCTCCCTGCACTGCACTCCCTGACGTCATTTATTTCTTATACAGCACAACATAATGTTATATCTCCAACACTTGCATGGGCTTTACGTGACTGACACAAATTTTATAGTACTAAATTTCTGTGACCCCTTTTAATAACTTTGTTTACAAAAAGTTGATACCTTACCTGTTTAGCAGATGAGCACATGCGAGGAGACTGACTATGAATGATCTCCAAAAGCAAAATTTTTGACCGTTTATAGCGCTCCTATTTAGTGCTTAAAACATTGTAAGAGTTCACTTATAGTCTGAAATGAGATCCTGCCAGGTGAGCTAGCCTACCAAAATTAACATTTCAATCTCATACTTTCATATGACTACACCCTTCCATTTGTGCTTGTCCAGCGTTACCACTGGCTTATTTACAGGGATCAACTTCCTAAAGTCATTAAGACTGATACCGGCGATAATCGTCCACGATTATGAGCTATTGATCAGATTGCTTGATATACAAACATGTCTGTGAGCCCTAGTTATGCTATTTCACACTCTGTGCGGTCCATAAACACACACACCTGACTGATCATTACGGTAATAGCAGCCAAGTGTGTTGTTGCGACTGTAAATTTACATTGTTCAATCATTTGAGCGTAAAACGTGTTGTTTCGTCGATAAACATATTTAAATGTCACAAAATGTGAAGTAAAGGCAACTACATAATGAATGACAAAGTTTGCCATTAGCTTTGATCGTCCAAGTAATATAGTGGTATATATGTTAGTTCGGTGTTTTGGTGTTCTCGTTGTGCCTTACTTTTAAGGACACATAGACATGGCTTAACGTTGTATATGATTCAGTATCGCATTTTATTACATATTTTGCTTACTATAGGTTATAAAGAGGCACCTTCATTGCCTTGTTTGTTTTGGATCCAATACTTACAGGAAATAAACAGTGATTCACACTGAATAAATAGTGTTTAGTTGATGTTTGCCATTCACTTTTGTAGTGAATTAAAGTAATAAGTTACTTTTCATAAAAGATCCTTGTAGGTATACGAGTATCTCATAAGCATATGTAAAGAAATCACTATCAAATAGTGATAATACCAGGTGCTCGACAAAAGGTAGGTCTATCCTTCCACGCTGGTGGCAGTGAAAGGAAATAATTCACTTTTAAGTTCATGTATATACACTTTAGTTCATTTTGAATGTATCAATTTTTGCTGCACCGCTTCATTGTGATGATAGATTTATCTAAAATATGTCGTCAGTCTGTTGCGCTGTTATACACTCCAGTGGACATCCTTAGATATGTGAATCAATCTAGAAACACCATGCTGAATAATCGTTCACAACCGCAAATAAACTACTAAATCCACAAGGTTTCAAAATGTCAGTGTGATCATCCCATACTTGTGGGCATTAGGGTTTCCAAAATGATTTTTAACCACGGTTCAGCAAGAAAACGCTTAAAATAATGTCCAGGCCACCAACCACGTTTAGGGATCTCATGGTTTTGTCATGTTGTATCATCATTGAACTGCTTACCTCGCATAACAAAGTTCTAGTCACAGTAAACTAGTTTCAAGCCATTTGTTAATGTATACATGTTGTGAATAATGTTTAACGAATGGCTATCGCAGGAGACAGAATATTGCAACTAATAATTGGCCCCTTATCTATTCAGTCTTTTGAATGCCATGTTGACTGTGATAGTGAAGCCATTGATGCTCGTGTAGTTGCTCTGAACACGAACGAGTCACCTGTATGGGCATATTGTTATCTAAGGTCGGTGACACGGAACCAGATTAATCGCGTTTTGTATTGGTCTTTGTATATGCACAGAAAAGGCAATGTGGAGAGTATTCAAGTCAGCAAAGGGACCGGACGCCTGAAGGTTGGGGCACGATAAAATAACACAGGGTTGTGAAATCTGAGAGTTTGCATGGCATTCGTTGGGCTGCCTTCTCCTGTGTAAAGTATGGTGGTTGAATATTGCCATCTCATGCAGTTGTACTACAACAAGCAAACACTTACTTTTTCAAGAACATTGTGTGAGTGGCGGGTGTTACCTGGTGTCATGACCAACGACCATAGGTTTCTGGCACACGGAATCATTTATAAATTAAAGCAACAAAACCATTTCCATATCCAATACAAATCTCTGTAAAAGCACAGTCGATTGTACATTTCCGACTATATCATCATGGGCATATGTTTATGAATCACTATCAAATAGTATGGAACCAGGTGCTCGCTCAAAGGTGAGCGTAACCTGTACCACCGGTGGCACTCGTCACAAACACATGCAAGCCAAATCAACTGTTCACCTAAAACAAAATAGTAACATATGGTACAAGTCAAAATAGGGAACTGCCCCAGACATCATATTTGTCACTGATGTGTCAAATTTGGAAATGTCCTCCACATAGCTAACATAAAACTTTTGGACATGTTTTAACCTTGAGCAAACAACTTCCGAAAAAAAGTCGTATGACCCCTTTCCAACTCGCGGTAGAAAGAGCATGCTCGATTGTATCTCAAAAGTTGCAAAAGGTAAACACAAAAGGCTGGAATATTGCTTGACATGAAGGGAAAGTTGAAGTCATCCCTCTTATCATACAATCTTGTGGAGAGTGTTTTGTCACTCTGAATCTTTATGCATAGATCTAAAACTGAAACAGATGAGGTGGTCTCACTGATGTCCCTTATTCCTAGATCAGGTGGGTAAATTAGTGGAAGGGAATTGGCTGTTTGGTTTTTATTGAACGATATCAGATCATCGATATACCTGAAGCTTAAGTTAAACTTGAAATATACATTTTGATACAACACACAGGCTACGTTCACGACATTCTTCTGCCCCAATAAGTGGAAAAATCGTATCCAGAGATCACAAAGATGCAGTATTTGCATAGAGATTCGACTGAGACTTTCAGGCACACCTACACTTGTGATGCAACCCCGACTAACAATGGGTGCTTCATCCTTAGCTGGAATGTAAACAGATTTTATACCAGCTTAGCATAATTGGCTTCGCCAGTTTCCTTTCTAGTATACAAATAGTCCGCCTGTTGGAATCATGGTCTAAAAGCGTACATGAGTTTCCACATATAGTTCGCGAAAATTCATGTTTCCCGTCTAAATAACTAAGAAATATGGCTTTAGGGGAGGTCTAGTAGTATATATTAAATGTGACCTGTGAAAGTTATTTCCACGGTTTAGAGTGTCCGACACATAACACATTCTGCATCGCTGGAAAGAAAACGCCTGATACTGTTCTTTGTTTATGTTCCACCAGAAACGCGATGATATGGAGGCTCTTGAGCAACGACTAGCTATGTTTAAAGAAGAGCATCCGGACAGAGTTCTCACACTGTGTGGAGACATGAATGCTAGAACGGGTAACTTGAATGACTTGAGGTTTACTCAGTTGACAATCTACAGATTGATAAGGACATTTCCTGCCCTGTTGAATCTATCCCACCTATTTCCGCCTTAGCTCAAATAGAAAACGCTTCCTGATGTAAAAGCAGTCAAATTCAAAAATAATTGTCGTAAAAATGTTATGAATTTTATTTTGAAAGTTAGTGACACTTTATCTAAAGCACACGATTGTAAGAGCGGTTGGAAAATTTACAAAATGGTCCTTCACATGTAACAATATTCTTCTTTTTTTTGGCAGCTGCACTTCAATAATCTACTAAACTAACAAATCAACGTGGGGATGGGGAATGGAAATACATGCACACAAAACTAATATTATTGTATTCAGAAATACCTAGATACGAAGAATGGACATATAATAATGTAAGACTGTTAAGACTGTTAGCTCCTATAAATAGCTGGGTCTCATGATAACCCTTCAGCTAATTAGGCCCGCAGCTTGGAATACCTTTACCGAACAGGCACATAAAGCACCATATACCATCGAATCATTTGTGCTTAAATACATTATATCTGTTAATAATGCCTTTCAAATATTTGACACAAAAATAACACCGATATTAATGTATGGTAGAGAGCTAAGGGGATACAATAAAAGAGAAAATATAAAAAAATGTACATAGACATTTTTTTTTTAAATATGTGATAAATATAAGCTAATCTTTGCCAAATGCTGTTGCGTATGGTGAATGTGGCAGATATCCGCTCTGTACACAATATTATGTCATGTGTGTCAATTACTGGTCACGCGTTTTATCTATGCCCACACACAGACATCTGGAGTGGTGTTTACTGATGCTATATGATACCTGTGACAGGAAATACTTCGTTTGGGCATCTCATATGAGAAACCAAGAAGCATTTATCTTTGTCCTGAAACAACGTATCCTTGACTGTGCTAAACAAAACTGGCATTAACTTCTCTCAGATAAACGATCACTTATATTTTATTCAAACATAAAATCAGAACTCCAGGATGAATGATACGTCCAAAATATTAATGTACTGAATTACAGAAAGGCCTGGTTAAAATTTAGAAGTGGATATATTACCTTTGGTGTTCTGAACGTACGTAAAGTTTATGGAGGTGATGAAGACTCTCTCTGCTCACACTGTAAAGGTAGATGATGAAAAGCACGTTTGTTTTGTATGTCCTCTGTACACCGATGCACGTACTCATTGTAAAGTCATAACAAACAACCAAGCCCACTGTATGATGTTAAAAATAAATTGAAAAATATTTGAGATTATATATTTAATCGGTTGTAATATATATATTACTCTTGGAAATCACCTGCGTGAAACCCGTTGAGTAAATAATACCGCTCATCTTTGGACTTTTGTATTTAATCTATATATATGTATTGTTTTTAAAAATTTGAATTGAACCGTAATGTTGTCCAATTCCAAAATGTATGTGTGATGCAATACTACTTTATGATATATATATATACATATATATATAAATATATATATATATATATATATATATGTGTGTGCGTGCGTGTGTGCGTGCGCGTAGGTGTGTGTTTGTGTGTAAGTGTGTGTTAGTATGTGTAATATGGGTACAATGACCTTGACAACAATAAACTGTTTGATTGACTGATACAAACACTTCCGGAAAAAAAACATCACCAATAACATATTGGATCCTCATCTGTAGTCACTGTGTTCAACAAATGCTATACTTTGTGTTACCTATTCACCCAAGCTGCAACGCGAGTCGTGGCCTCAATGTTTACTCGGGTGTATTTATCATGCAGGAAGTAAACTACACATTATGAGGTCTCACCTGACAACCCAGGTATAGGAAAACGGATTCGAGGAGGGACAGCCCTGACACAAAGGTGAGACAATGTATTTGGTCATGCTCCAAACAGACATAATTTCTGTTAGTTTAACCAACGTTTAACAAAATCTAGACTTATGTACTTGTGTACATTTGCTTAGCTTTCCATTGACAACTGCTTACATAGATATTCAACACGCCACACAGCACAGATAAGGAGGTACTATAAATAACTAATCTGTCACTTGAGTCAATAACTCCATTGGTAGATCAGTAAGGACGATGTAACACAAGACTCAGGGGTAAAGTTTAAGACGACTGCAGTCAATGTTTTTGTTGTGTGTTGAAATAGGTCGAAATGGTACAAAGTTACAGTAATCACGTGACGGAACTCACACTGGTCCCGAGTGAACAATGTTCCAGGTGCGGAGACCCGCTCTGTCCTTACCACGACAACGATTTTCGTTATCGTTTACATTGTTGGTGATGATCAGCTACTCATACACTTGATCCGTTCAGCAATACGTAGATGCATGGATATCATAAGGAACATTCATCTTTCACACAGGATTCCAGACTGAAACTATATATGCAAATATGTCATCAAGCAAAACAAACTTGCCATTCTTCTCCTTATTTAAGTATATATATTTTATTGAGTTCGAGTGTCGGGATCAACCTGCTTTAAACATTTTTTCAGTAGTATAAAGGCATGTCAGCTTAGAGTGGAAAGATCTGACGTGATGTTGATATCAAACATGTACCACTTAAACACCAGGAGTTTGGATTCGAACCCATCATCAAAGGATGCAGACCTGCTCACTTTACACTTTCACATCACAGAAGATAACTGCTACATAAAGAAGTTATGAAGATAACTCATTAAAACGTGCAAGCAAAGTTACAGGTTAGAACGTATCAGATCATAACTAAATGTGTAACTCTCCCGATGTGTATTGTTCTCTAGCAAAAGATGTGTCACCTTTTCAGAACACTGCTGTCAATGGCGGCCCTTCCTAGCGCATCAACGATTCTGCTTGCAGTTAGCCTCATGAAAGGTATGTCAGGCTTAAGATTAAAAGAATCACTGCACAAGTATTAGCAATTAGCATTTCTCTCTGTATATAATTCTTATCTTACATCTGATGTCATGTACACATTGTACGGTGTAACATACTATTACCGAGGAAAGATTGCAGCTGTGGTGTTCTAATTCCCATTATCACAGAATATATATGAGTCATGGAAATGTTTTTTTCAGCTGTTATAAGGACAAGATTGAAAGCTGTAGATAAACCGGATTAGCTCTTACTATGATTCTTGATTGGTCAGCACCATACCCGACTTGTCACTCAGAGATCTCGGAAGCCTTGAAATAACTGAAATACTGATTAAAGCAGCGTGCAGCCCAAATTGCATTTTGCATCATCTTTAGAGTAACATCAGGAAAAGTCCTATGTGAGAATGTTCCCTGATTTGCGTGTTTATTTCCAGGTGTTGAGGGGGCAGTGACAGTATCCGGGTCAGGAGGTACAGGGATACCCAACCAGCAGGATCTGACACTGAGATGCAACTACACTGTGACATCAGGGGATGTTGTTACTACGTACACATGGAGGAAGGGGGAGGGCCTCTCTGCAGTGCAGGTAGCCACTGGATCAGTGATTGCTCAGACAGCTGTGTTCGTTGACTCCTGGCAGAACAAGGGCGTGTTTGTTGGTGACTTCACCTCCTCCCTTGACATCCAGCTGCCTGCCAGTCACGTGACATCCAGCTATGCCGGGACATACAGGTGTGAAGTGAGTGGGGTGTCAGGTTCTGGACAAGTGAGTGTCACTGCGTCTGTGTTGTGTAAGTATATGATGGACATTAATATGGATAGAAGAGTCAATGGGTGACCTCCAGTTATGCCAGGATTACCATTTGTTAGATACCAGACACATGGATGTCATTTCCTTTGTGTGTGTGTGTGTGTGTGTGTGTGTTTGCCAAATGACACGACGACAAGTCAGCGACCCTGGTCACCCGATCCCGTTAGTCGCTTCTTTTCTTAATCAAATGCCTGAATGAATGGGGAAATGTTGGTGTCTATGTTTCCAATTAGACAAATTAAAATGTCAATAACTTCTAGAAGGCCCGCCTTCCGAATTTCAAATGTTCACACTGTTTCACAAATGTGCTTGAGTGGTGAACACATGAATATTTCCAAGGCGAGTGAGAGTGAGTATGGCCTTATTCACGAATGGGGACACCATAAATGGGCTTCCCACATTTTACTCATGTGGGGAATTGAACCAGGGTCTTCTGTGTGACGAGCGAACGCTTTAACCAATAAGCTACCTCACCGCCCCTTTCCAAGATGGGGGGTGGAAGCTTCAACTAGTGTAACACGTTAAATTTTCCACATATTTCTACCTTAGGGAATAACACATCATTATGAAAATAGTTATACGGAGCATAACATTTTGTGTGACTGTGTGTTATTGATTCCGAATGATCATATCTTTACCAATATAATACTTGAAAGAACAACTGCATAAAAATATAAATTTAGGTTCATTAGTATTAACTAAGGGTTCATAATATGTTATATTTAAGATAGCGTTAAGAAACCTTTTGGAAGTTGTCACGCATGTGCCATTTACTCTGTAAACAGTAAAATGTATGTGTTAATTCCCTAACTACACTAATAAAGTGATTACGTCCGATGGGCAGATTGTGAGGCACGGATGACCAGCCATCTTCAGCACTGTAGAGCTGCGATCGCGATCTGTTGATCTAGGTATCGAATGGGAATCGGTGTTAAATTAAGTTTTTACCAAGAAAGAAATACAGTACTGATCAAAGTGGCGCTACACCAAACTCACTTATTCCTTTATACAGGAAATATGTCTAAGTTATGTAGTGTTTTATGTCTACTTCATTTGTTATGTGTTTTGTTATTCTGTATGTTCCCAAGTATAATTATTTTTTGTGCTCCTCTTATTCCTTGACTTTTCACTATATCAAAACTCTGTATCTCCAATCTGTTTTTGTTTTTATCATTTATTTCTAGTGTAGTTTATCTTACAGTTTTTTTTTCTGATATTGAGATATAATGATTAAATCCACACTGTATGGGTCGTGTAAAATGCATCATTTGAAACAATATATTGGGGATGATGTAATACCAAAGACCCGTGAAGACTCTGGGGTAGAAAAGGTCTTCAGCAACCCATGCTTGTCGTAAACGGTGACTTTGCTTGTCGTAAAAGGCGACTAACGGGATCAGGTGGTCAGGCTCGCTGACTTGGTTGATGCATGCCATCGATCCCAATTGTGTGGATCCATGCTCATGATATTAATCACTGGATTGTCTGGTCCAGACTCGATTATTTACATACCGCCGTCATATAACTGGAATATTGCTGAGTGCGGCGGTAACAACCAACCAACCAACCAACCAAATACGCTATGTACATCATTAAAACGACTGGGTTTAGCAGTATTCCACCTATAACACCTATAATGAACATGTCCGATAATACACATGGTGATTCCGTCAAATGACATATATGAGTATGTAAATATGGCTATAAATAGTTGATATGGTATAAAACCCCTCATTCCATTACTATTTCTCACATGTGATTAATTGATTCGTTCATTAATTCTTACATGTATATGGGGTGTTCACTTCAGCATTCTTTTTTCAATACCAAATGTGATCAGCGTCATTGGTAATGCTTCAGAAACATTATTAGGAATATGTGTGACATTTATCGCAAAACAAAAGCTCCAATTTATGTCTTTAAGTATCATGTGATGTGTAAACAGTTATTATTGTTTAACATCAAGTGAAAGATCCGTTAAATTGTTGTGGGAACTGAACGAGCTGTATTCATATGAGACACAACATATGAAATGAATATTCTAACAAACAGATGTCCAATCAATATCTGGCCTGCCGTCCATCTACCGAGTGATCAAGTCATCCCGTCTCAGGATAGACTGTAGTACCTGCACCATGTTCTTTCAGCTGTTCCATCAATATCTGGCCTGCCTTCCACCTACACAGTGGTCAAGTCATCCCGTAATAGGATAGACTGTAGTACCTACACCACACCCGGCAACCCTCCAACAACAAGCTACACCTGGACCTATGGTGGTTCTACTGTCAGTACTGGGGCTGTACTTGATAGAAGCAACATCAGCAGGAGTCAGGGAAGAAACTACACCTGTACTGCCAGCAACACTCAGGGGTCTGACTCGGCCTCAGTCAATGTGGATGTACAATGCGAGTAACTGTGACACCTTCTTCCGAAAGAAAAGTTATATGTTGTTATTACTGTATAAAATGTATGAATACGATTATTATTTTTGTTATTATTATATAAATTGTATGTTGAACAAATCATGCCATAACAGTTTACAAAGGAGTGTGTTAGGAGTCACGCATGTTTTACTGGATAATAACCAGTAAATATACATGTTTATTGAATTTCGCTTATGGATTTGTAATTTTCCTATTTTTCAGATGCTCCTTCTATATCTGGACTACCAACAGTGCAGAATGTCTCAGAGTTCTCTAGCCTAAGGATAGACTGTAGTACCTACACCACACCAGGCAACCCTCCAACAACAAGCTACACCTGGACCTATGGTGGTTCTACTGTCAGTACTGGTGCTGTACTTGATAGAATCAGCATCAGTAGAAATCAAGGAGGAAACTACACCTGTTCTGCCAGCAACACGCTGACACCAAGTGGGGGATCTCAACAACAGGGGACAGCAACAGCACAGATCAATGTGGATGTGCAGTGTGAGTAGCAAGTAACCATTGATGCCATAGGGTTCCAAAGCTACATTTCGTTACAATGAATTATGACGCGTGTGCAACCTGGTTTGGCAGTATGTCAGAAGCTGAGGAAACAATATTTGTAGTTACGAGATGTTTCTACGTGTAAATTAAAGTGTCACCACTATCTTGGTTATCATTGCTACCGAAAGCAGTATCTATCATACCCAGCAGTTTGTCATGCTAAATTACAAGTGCTGGGTATAGTGTGGACAGCTGGTCTGAAGAGTTCCATAGTTTGCTACTTGACAAGTAGTATGTATAACACACATATATAAATCGTATTTACTATGCAGACATATTCGGCTTCTGTCAGTTTTATTTTATCACATGGTACAGCTGAATCAATGTTTAAAGCAGAGCAAAATACAATTCACTCGCACGCAATCCACATTGCTCACAAGCCTCGTGACAAGTTGCACGAGCTCCAAACCATGTATGGAGACAAGCTTTATGCTACATCAAAACTATCTAACAAACTGTCAAGCACTTTCAAGTTGTGCTTCGAAGACAACTCAGTTTCACCGCTCTAGGATAACAAAAGTTTCTGTTTTTTGCTACCACATGCCCTGTTGTTTATTTTTCTTTGATAACCTCCAATAATACATTTAATCAACCGTAACGCAATGTCGATGTATCGCAGAGGAAATATTTAATAATAGATTGTTTACTTATTTTACTGAATGTATTGCTTTTAATAGTGATTCATAAATGCAATACTGCAACGCCTGAGGATGATCATTCTCGATTATATGCCGAAACAGATTCCAGTGGGGTAAAAGGCAAAATAGGGATGTTTATGTATGAATGACATAGTGTGATGGAAATGTGTCAGAAGGTCAGACTTCAAATTTTGTTTTTTGTTATTTTGATCCTGAGTTGACGTTTTCATAGCCACCACACATTTTGATGTCAAGTACAAAAGTTGTTCCTGTATTGCAATTTGAACATACATATGCTCATGTAACATATCCTTTTGATGAACTATTTTATTCTGCGTTACATGTGGTTGTTGTATGGCTGTCAGTGTAAACATGAAGTCACACGTATTAAATGAAATTGATCCCTCGAGGTATAAACTAGTCATATACAAATCTAAACAAGTGCTAGTACTGTAATTTAAAAGTCCGTCCGGAAAGTTCGTTTTATTATCCTAGATATAGAGGATCAGCATGTTAGAAATATGTAATACACTAAAAGTACATTCATATCTGTATGCACTTTCGCATGTGGAAGTGCATGTGATGAATTCAGTTATGCAACTTCATACTAATCCACACACATGTTAACTTCAATATACAGACAATACCCTTCCTGTAATATAATAATGGGTTATAATTTCAGATCAGGCCAGTATAAGTATGTTCACCGCCAATTCACTCAGCGGCACACTGACAGTTAACGAATCTGATTCAGTGACCTTGAGATGCCACATTGATAGTTACCCAAGGTCAATCATCAGGTTACTGAATGGAACTGAGGAGTTGACAAGGGCAGATAACTCCCTGACAGCAGAATATAGATTGGAGTCAGCAGACTGTAGACAAAGAGGGAACTACTCCTGTACTGCCACTAACAACATCGGGGCACCTGTCAGTCAGAGGGTGGAGTTGCTGGTCATTTGTGAGTAATCACTCAGCCGACCCGATGTACGCACCGATACATGTGGTAGTGTTGTAATTATTGCCATTAACTAAATTTGTCAGGCTTTAAAATGAAAACAAATGTAATGGCTGTGTAACGCTTGTATATTTGTGTTGCTCTTTGTCCACTGTTAATCCTGCAGTGCACAAATAAAACAAGTATCATTTCTGGCATATACAACTAAAATGTCAAACTCTCGTTTAAAAGGATACCAAAATTAGGTAGCTGGGCACATCACAAAAATGCTAGGGATGATAATCTTGGAACTACATGATTATGTTCCGCACCATTGCCGAGCTAAGAAAGTCTGATTCAGGTCATTCATAAGTCCCAACGTCTTCCTACTGATAGTTTATAATGCATGCAAATCTAGCAATTATTGTTACCATAAGTATACAATCTATATATTTGACTCATGGCACTGACACATCGTCATTGTCTAAACGTGATATTCACAACGTATTGCAACTATGACTACGATGGCTGGTCAAAAGGTTCTGAGCCTGACCATAACAACATGAACTAGTCATTGTACTAGATTGTTTTGGTAGTTCATTGGAAGTGTATTTGGTCTGTTGAGGTCGTGTGTATGTTAGTGACAGTCTGTTGAACGTGATAGGGGTCCAAATGGACACACAAATGATAATTACCCAGCAGTCATCAAGTTTTTACTTCAAATGCATAACCGCAAGTCACAAGTGTATGGGGATAAGTGCCATAGATATTCCACTGTCAAACGTTGGGCAGCTATGTTTAAGGCTGGGAGAACAAGCCGTGATGATGACCCTATGTCTGGACATCCCTCAACTTCCATCAATGAAGATTCAATCAAGGAGATAGAAAAACTTATACTGTCAGTTAGACATGTTTCCATTGCTGAACTTGAGGCAGACATGGATTCATTGAAACTATTATGGATCCATTGAACTATTATTCATGAACATATACAGATGAACAAGATATTTGCCCATTGGGTGCCACCGTTTCTAAATTCAGATCTTAAGACATTTTTAGATTTCGTCACATTAAAAAAGAGATTAGTCACGGATGATGAGACATGTGTCTACTACTTTGATCCAAATTCAAAACGTCAATCCACAAAATGGCCCCATTCCACTTCTCCAGCACCAAAGAAATTCAAAATCAGTGAAGAAAGTTATGGCCACAGTATTCTGGGATGCAAATGTTGTGATCCTTGTCGATTACCGGTCAAAAGACGATTACCGATTACTACTATGCTGACTTGTTTCATGGCCTGAAAGACTCAATCAAAGAAAAGTAGCGAGGAAGGCTGACTGCTGGAGTTCTACTATTTCATGACAATGCCTCTTCTCACACCTCTTGACTTGCAAAGGGTCCTGTGTGACAATGTGGATTGGAAGAGTTTCCATGCTCACCAGACCTTGCACCAGTTATGCCACATGTTTCATAAACAACTAGAACACCTTCGTTGGAAGCGCTATGATGACAACAATGACCTTAAAGCTGCCGTGAATGTTTTTGTCAGGTTGGCTTCAGAAAACTGCTTCCTGACTGGAATTGAAAAGCTTTACTATCGATATGAGTAGTGTATTAAAGCCAGAGAGATAAAGTTGAAAAATACAATTAAAAACACTTTCACAATTGTTCGTTTTGTTTGTTAGAACTTTTTGACCAGTCCTCGTATATACAGGAAATGCATACCTTTTCGTTTTGTTTCATGTTAGATAGGAAGTTAGGGATATCATCTAAGTATGTTCTTTCACTCGTAGACGTGCGGACAGTTTATAATTTGTTCTCGAATCTATGCATAAGTTTAAGCAAGTGTATTAATTGCCGTCTGTCTTGTACATTTAACCAGTTCCCCCTCGACTTGATGAATCAGTTCCCCAGCAACTCAAATACGCCGCTAAACTGGGTGGTAACGTGACTGTGTCTGTATCAGTCCTGGCCTTCCCCCTTCCTACATTCACCTGGAGTAGAACCACCAGCACCAGCCAGGACCTCACTGGTTCCTCCAGCCCTGTCTCAGACATCTCAGTCACTGCCAGACTACACCTTACTAACCTCCAAAAGAAGGACTTCGGGGACTACAGTCTTACAGTGGACAATCGTGTAGGCCGGTCGGTGGCATATACTGTCAGTCTAAAGGTCGAAGGTGAACATCCAATTCTTATTCGTCCATTCAGTTTTCATATAATCCATTATTAATAATTACTACGACTATAGCCTTTTTTATCAATATACCATTTTATGTGTGTTCTGAAAGTATGACTTTTCACTTCATGATCTCTACACTGTGAGTATTTTGATACAGAGTTTCTCAGAACAAACATATGGTATTACGTTGTTTTAATAGGGCCTCCGGGGACACCTACACAGTTCAAATCTCTAGAAAATGTAACAACGTCTTCGGTGTGGTTGTCATGGCAACCTGGGTTCAATGGTGGACATCCCCAGTCTTTCATGCTTGAATATCTTCAGTTTGTTACAAGAACGTGGACCCCGTACAACACGTATGATGACACTGGCAAGGTGAAAGTGGTGGAAGTGACGGGCCTAACGTCAGGAGATATTCACATTTTCCGTCTGCATAGTAGAAATTCCTTGTCTAACAGTTCATCTTTCGTCCTTGTGGAAACTGTGACTGCTGGGGGTAATTATCACTGACGTAGGATCTCAAATTGTCATAATCAACAACATTACATGAAGAAAAATATGTATTTAAGCATCACATACCTATTTGTTAGCATGCCTGTTTTTGTTGGTTTTTTAACGGCACACTAAACAATGCCACAGGCAATGTTATTTAAACACCATATCTATTTGTCTGTGTCTTTAATAGCATGTTTATCTATTTGTTGTTTGTTGCATAGCACTGCCCTCAACAATATTTCACTTATATGGCTGCAACCTGTAAATAATCGACTCTGGATCAGAAACTGAGTGTTTTATATATGAGTAATAGTAAGTATTGTGGTGCGTCAACATTTCCTTGCTATGTTGTCGTTGCAGTTTCATCGAAGAATATAAAAAGTTTAAAGCTGCAGTGTATAAACAATTATCAATAGGTTCAAAATGTGCTTACTTGGGTTGGAAAATGAATGTGGTAATGTTTACCGATTTACTGCAAACCAGTAAGTACACGACAACCACTCGTTATACTTTGATAACGCAGATCCTACAGACCATCAGCAACTCGATGCTACTTGTACAGAAGACATCGTGGGATCAACTGTAGGAACTCTGCTTCTTGCCTTGTTCATTGAAGGAATTGTTGTGATGGTCCTCTACAGAAAGGGTTTCAGGTTCGGACATGCCATGAAAGGTATATTGTGTATTCATGGTAGTATTGTAAGTAGATTGATGCAGTAGTAAAATAATGTTTGCAATCAGAATAACATTTTATATTGACACTGCATATAATGACGAATAATGGTGATATGTATGGAAGTGGAATAATGTTACTTACTCAGCATACCTAGTGTGGTCTAATTGATACGTCAGTTGACCTAAACTTCAATATAATATCATAAAGTCCACAACAAAATATATGCATCTATACGTCAGTCCTGATATGTTAAATATATCCTATATATATGTGTATGCTTGTAAAATAAACGTTTACTTCTGACGCCACTTTTGTCATTTTACTTTTCATAATCTCCCTGTGCAGCATGTTCACTATACATACGATATATTCGTCATGTGTTTACTATGCACTACACTGTAGACATTATTCATCTTTTGCAGGAACTGCATCACCAAAAAGGTATTCCAAATGAATTCATATTGTATGAATTTATAGGGATTCTCTCCTGCGTGTCTTCTGATATCAGTTTCGATTAGTGCTGATCTGTTCAAGAGATACAATGCAGATATCTGCTGCACCCCAATATGTCATTCTAAATTAATAAGTGACTGTGTACGTGCGAGGATCAATAAACTTTGCTTCCAAAAACGTGACAGAGTCGCCAAAATTGTTCACCTTTTGACATAACTGACGACAGTAATAACTGAAGTGGTCCATGCTTATCAAGTAATCACAACTTAGCAGCGATAAAACTACAAATAGATAAATATAAATTGATGGAATAATGTAAATGATACTATTTTAATATCTAAACCTAACTGAAATGATACGGACAACTCGTGTCCTTCATGTACATGTATTTGAATGAACTGACCTGTCAACGTTTGCAGCACCAGTCGAGCTGAAGATACAGAAATGGACAACATTGGCTATTCTTCCTTGGGTACGTGGTCCGTAATATTACTGCTAATGATCTCACACTTATATCACAGTCTCTCAGAACTGATAGAATCTGTTTTTGTTTTAGATACGATCAACAGTCCGGCTCAGTACACAAGTTTGGAGGAAAAGGCACAAGATAAACAAAATTACTCACAGCTGAAGATTTATGAGAACACGAAAGGTAAATGAGCCGTCAACAGTTAAAATAGTATTGAATGTCCAGTATTGCAGTATGTTACTGTCAGATTAGTATTGACAGCATTGTAAACATCGTACTACAACCAAATCCGAATTGAAACATGTAAATGAAAATATTACTTTCTGAACAGTATGTATGTACACACATACTCTTTAGAAAAGAAGTATAGAAGAAAGTAAGGAATACTCGGAAACAACTTACAGATTCCAAAATTGTGAGAGGTATCAGTTTCTAGTATTAGTTGTATGATTATAATGAACGAATTGTGAACATGTTACATTGATGTATGCTAACCAACGATCTAGAAGAACGATAGGGGTGTAATGGGAAATTTCGTTGACGTTTTTGGATCAGTAGTCCGTAATACGGCCACGATGTGTCAAACATTCATTCACTCGACGAGGCATACTGCGTATGAATGTCCTTATGGCGATTTTAGGGAGTCTGTCCCACTTCTCATGCAGGACCTGACCAAGTTCAGACATCGTGGTTGGCGCCCTATAATGTTGACGCGCACATGTCCCTATAATGTCCCAGACGTTTTCATTGCTAGATGTTGTGATGCTGGAGGTGAACACTGACGATTCGTGCGCGTTGAACACGGGAGTTGTCGTCATGAAAGACAAAACGTCGACCCACACGCCTTGCAAACGGGACAACAAAGGGTGTCAGTATGATGTCCAGATAGTACTGTGCAGTGACCCTTGCTTGAACAATGTGTGGTGGGGTAAGGTCATAATGGTGAACAGAGATTATTCCACCTTCTCTGAAAGTGTCACAATCAGGAATGACACGCTACGCACGTGTGTGGGACTACTGCGTGCAGCACCTGCAAACTATCTGATGTGTTTGGGAACAATGTTTTAAAGACATGAACGGTCTTGCATAGGATGCTTGTCGTCAACAACTATCTTTGTTATAATATTTGCAATTAAGATTTAAATTTCAAAATCCTCTACGTTTTAAAAGAATATGTATCATATACGCAATCATATATCCTCTAGAAGATGCTCCAGCAGATACGAGTACCTATGAAGGCATGGCAGAGACTCCCCGTGTGACCTATGAATCCATCAACGCATCTCCGCACCAGGACAGTGGCGGTCAACCTCGTGGTAATTAATCTTTGAATCTCGTAGCACTGTGACTAACTTTAATCTTACATCATTATCAACCTTTGTGCTTGTATGTTGTTTAATCTATTCAAAGGGGCGGTGGTGTTGTCAAGTGGTTAAAGCGTGCGCTCGTCACGTCGAAGGCTCGGGTTCGATTCCCCACATGGTTATAATGTGTGAAGTCCATTTAAGGTGTTCCCCGCTGTGATAATGCTGAATAATGCTAAAAGTGGCGTAAAACCATACTCACTCACTCACTCACTCACTCATTGTTTACTAATTTGAGTTGATATCCTCCCTGTTCCAATCAAAAATAGTGATTAATGTTATATTATTTCGGTATATTGCGCTGAACGATGCTATTTATCTTTGTCTACAGCTGTTTGTGCTTTTGAATTGATTAGCAGTCTGGGAATGTATTATTATTGACTTATTTATTGATAAGTATTGCACGTGATACAGTCAGAATCGTATAAAGGATTATAGCAGAGATTTGTCATGAATATGAAAGGGGTTTTGTTGCTTTTATTCAATTTTTTTTTTTCGTTTATGAAGGTATAATATAAAAGCTGATAAGCACACCGTGTACATTGACTCAGTGGATGTATGCACAGTATGGGTATCTCATTTGTGTAAGGTGTGCACAACGGTTCTTATTCCTCCATAAACGCACACAATTATAATTTCCACCATAAATGTGAATAACTCGAGTCTGATTGGTTAATCACGGTATCAAATTATTATAGTGAGTGAGTGAGTATGGTTTTACGCCGATTTTAGCAATATTCCAGCAATGTCACGGCGGGGGACACCAGAAATGGGCTTCACATATTGTACCCATGTCGGGAATTGAACCCGGGTCTTGATGAGGGAACACTTTAACCACAAGACTACTCGACTGCACCACAAATTACTATAATCACCTCTCAATTGAAACAGCTGATTTTACGGTACCATCACCCTGGAAGCTACTATTAATAGAAAAGTTTCACCAAAGTGCTAAACGTCTGAGACCTGCATCGCCTCGGGCTTTACTCCCACATCAAGCTTACACGCCCTTATATAACTGAGATACTGATAAAGGGGCGTTAAACCCAACTCACTTACTCAATCACTCACTTATTCACACTAGTGACGAGCAGTGTTTTCTTAAGAGGGACCATGTGTACAATGCGAGTGACGTATTACGATATGAAATGAATATGTTTGTGCCAATATAGCGCCCTATTTTGTTTAAGTGATATTATCGGGGTTTCCATAATTCAGATCGACAACTCACTCAAACCATTGGATGCAACCAGTGCCATTTCCCTCAATATCATTGCTACGACCAAACCTTTTAATATTGTCATGGTTACACATTATGTGTATCTCCTTATTAACTACCTGCATTTTACGATGTTTTATGTCCTTTTTCAGATGCTGACTAAGGAAATATATGAAGAGGCAACAATCCATGCAATGGCATCATCTTTCCAGTAATGGATCATGGAGCGCTTGATGTGTTGCTTTTCTTGGATATATACACTCATTGCTTGTTGACTTTATCCAGGACAGGGAAATCCTTCACATTTGTGTTGCTGTTGGGTCACCCACGTGAAAGAGGAATACTCAACACGTGTTGGCTTTTGATCATGTATGTTTACATGTAGCATTCCTCTTTCATTGTAAAATTCAGATTACGTGAAAAGTTCATGTTTACATGATAATGTAATACAAGTCGAACTTTATAGATTGGATTGATATAAAAATAGCTCAATAAAACTGTCGATCGGATTATAGACTACAGAGTCCACACATATATATATATACCTGATTTTTTTTCGCTTTGCTTTATGCTGATGATACAGCATTATTAGCGTCCACTGATGATGAACTGCAGAAAGAACAATTTAGATATGTTTAGTGAATACTGTCATCAATGGAAACATGTCCGCCATGTCATTAAACAATAGGTCATTGTTAACCCTAGATTATGCTATGTTCATAGCATTAAGTGAATAAAGTTATGTTCTGTTGTTAATCAGATTCTCATGTTACACGTTGTATTTTATCCTCTATCAACATGGAAACGAATGTGGACCACTCTAACAAATCACTTTCTAGAGGTATAAGCCTTGATTGCCCGCTGCAAGGGATTACGCAGATGAGTTAATTGCCCAATCCAGGGGAATGAGAAACACTCATTGGTAATAACTGGGCCAGGGCAGAGGGTCGCCCATTCTCGATGATAACGAAAAATGTTGACTATTGTGGTTATGAACACGAGATCGATGCCTTTAAATGTATATTGTCAGTCAAGATTAGGGATACAAAACACACACTGATAATGATTGTTTTAAACTTACTTCCTGGATATGGATATCACCTGACAATTGAATCAATGCATCAGGAAGTGCAATGGGATATGCAAGAAAGGAGTTTGGAGATGCATAATGGACGATAACTGCACTAAACTATATGTCAAACATGTTTAAAAATTTATTGCCTCATTACTCTTTCATAACATCTCAATCTAACCTATCAAGATAGGTCCCCCCGCTTTAATAGGACCTGTTTGTCACACGTGTAATTGTCCAACAATGGAAATTTGGAATCATTCCGACACCTTTTGTTGGCAAAGGATATTGACAAGTCCCGGGAATGACGACTTCTACGCATTACCATTATTTACGGTGGAACAAGAGTTTATTGTACAGGCAAACTTACACTATGTGCAATATTGAAAAGAGAGGAGGTGAACGAAATCTAAGAAATCCTTGATAGAATGATATGGGTTTTTTTCTATTCACGCTTTGTTAAAGGAAATAGTTATATATTTATGAAGATGATTGGCCACATGACGTATTTACATATTTCTAAAAGAATTAGGATTGACATCAAAAGATGTAATGGAACACATTAGCAATGGCTTGGGTGTCGCAAAGTTTACAGGTTCTCATGGATTGCTAATAACAACAACAAAAATAATACAAGTAATAATCATCATAACAATAATAACAATAGCAATTGGATTAGCAAAGAGGAAGGGTATCATTCTTTACCTCCTTAGCACAAATCCCCCAAACCCTTTACTCACAATCTTTACTTGGATGGGCTTGAACTTATTGCCAAAGGAGGATCCACACTGAACAAAAATGATTCTTCCTATCCTATTTCTAATGATATTGCAAAGTCCTTTGGACTCGACAACGGCAACATCTTAATCTGAAACTTAGGGATGCAGGTAATGGACAAACAAAATGTCCATATCAAGGAAAAACATGAAAGCATATCTGTGTCTATTTGTATACATTATATACTTAAACTATATATGTGACCGCTATTTCCTAGCTTTGTAAGAAGTTTATCTATATGAAGTGGAATAGCCATTTTGAGTGTTCATACTTTACCTTTGAGATAAATGTATGTTAACACAGAAGTCAGGTAACTGTTCTCTTTAGTTGCAAGTGGTCATGTGATGTAACTTGTTCCAATTCTCAATATATATATATTTTTATATATATATATATATATATATATATATATATATATATATGGTGTGTACTTTCTGCATTTGAACTACTTGTAATGTTTATAAAAGTGTATGTGTGCAATGTGTATATAAGTGTGGCTTTGTTTACCCCTATTTGTATCTCAGGTGTATTTTCGACCGGATATAATCTGGACCTTGCAGCTTGATCAACAGCTCTCTTGTAGTTTGGGAAGTCGAATAAGATGAATCAGTTGTGATGATGGTATTCACTGGCATTGAGGACAGTAATGACCAGTTCGGAAAATGCATGTCATCAATTGTACAAGTAAAGCCTGGTTACTACTTTAGGTGAGTCATGTTTATCAGACAGCGCGTCACAGAGCTGCGATTGAAATGAATGTAATTGCGGAACTGTATTCCTTTCCTCTTAGGCGGCCTGCCAGATTGCATGAAAGAACCTAGCTTGAAATATGCGAGGACACAATGTTACTAGTCTGTCATGTTAAAAAAGTGTCAGCATTTGTTCATATATGACATGTTACTACCTTGTTTAGTGTTCATCTATATTCAATTATTCATGTATATATCTTTTATAATGTGTCTTCAATACTGGAGGAAATAAAGACAGTCTATCTATTCATTATTCAGCCATTTTCTTTCGATCTAGTGAGACCGCCTCTGTGGTCTAGTGGTAGAGCGTCCGCCCGGAGAGCGGAACGTCCGGGGTTTGAATCCCGCCCGTGTCATACTAAAATATGTTAAACAATGGTATTTGTTGTTACCCTGCCTGGCGTTCGGCATTCAGAGGCTAAAACAAGGGCTGGTCGGCTCAGAGTAAGTATAATGTGTCTGAGTGGGGTATTCATGTTAAACTTCGGCATGGTATCTCATTTGGCTAGCATTATCAATCGGCATCAGCCCGAACTAGTACAAGCAGCCACACACACATGCACATAAGTGCAACTATCTTGGATATGACGTTAAACAACATTTCCGATCCAGTTAGGATTTATATGTTTGTTTCAAATGTAAGCATGTACATGTGATATGAATGTTGTCTACACTTACTCGGTGCACTAGGGTAATGTAAGGTCGCATCGGGTTTCAGGTTTGAATTGATGCTAGCATCGCAGACAGCAGGCAAGATACCAGGATTGTCAAACGGATTGTTTGAATGTTTAAAAGCGATAACTCTCTAGAGTTTCTTTGTAGAATGTGTTTGTGTTCAAGTCGCCGTAAAATTTGCAACTAGTAATTGATACAAGGGAGTGTTTTCTACATGTAACGGTGAAGAGAAATACGCCCTTTATCCACACTAGTAATAATATGCATTTAATAGTGACCTGTGATATAAACTAATTCGTTACACCTTGCTTAATTTAAAGATTTTAATAAACGCTTCCCGAGTTGATGAAATACACAATGGGACACATAATCACTGACCTACGATATCAAGACTATGTCAGATGTATACTCTCATATTCTATACACTATTGCAGTTCTCAATCTTAAACTCGCACATTGTCGGTATGCTATTAAACGTTGTGTTACGTTTAAAAGGTATACGCCATTTCAATTTGTTCTTTGTGTTTGAGTCGTATTTTCAACCGTTGACAAAGTAAAGGTACCTACGAAGACATGACATCAGAGCATCTCCATACCAGAACAGTAGCTCGCAACTTCAAGGACACAAAGACACGGGTTAATGTTGTTGAGAACTATTAGTAATAATTGTAATACTAATTAATCACCGTTTGTAATAAATAGCATATCCAACTCGTTCCATGTTCGGGACAGGTTAAATAAATATGTTACTTGAGACGACTGAGGCTTAATATTGGATGGGAAGCTCGTTTATTATCATATAATACTTACCTGTGTGGACACATTTAAGTTCAGTCATAACAAATCAAATGTAATAAAATAATCTTAATGTAAGTTATCAAGATGTATGTTCATTGCCTGTATGTATCTATTTTCCCTTGCCGAGGGTCACGAGACATATATAATGATTCACTCTTTCACACTCAGTTCATGTTTGTAAAATGAAATTAATGCACTATAAATACCCAGTATTGCTATCACTAACGTCACCTAAAGATGTCAGCAGACAGTATTCAAACTATCCAACTTTATAACAATAAATATGTATATTTGACAACTTACTGTCTATTCGTGTTACCCTGACATCGATTGCACCAGTGTATTAACTACAACACCAAATTCAGTCTGAGTGAGTGAGTGAGTATGGTTTTACGCCGCTTTTAGCAATATTCCAGCAATATCACGGCGGGGGACACCACAAATGGGCTTCACACATTGTACCCATGTGGGTAATAGAACCCACAGCCTTCCGCGTGACGAGCGAACGCTTTTACCACTAGGCTACCCGACCGCCCCAAATTCAGTCTGAAGAGTAATATTGGGATAATTACTTGTAAACAGTTTGGTATGGTAATATGATAAATGATATTATACCTTATAAAAGGTTGAAGCACGTTTTTGAAACGTTGATCTGTTAGTACACATCGTACTTTATATATAAGACAAAATACATATTCCCTTAATGTGGAAAAGTCAGCGAAATTTCATCTAGTTCTATGACGCAATACAGTGCTATGACGTTGGACAATGAGGTTACAACGTCAGTTTTGAAAGAATGTTACAGCTCAATAGAAGTCCATAACGATATTTCCAAGTATTCAACAAAAATAATGCGTATCCTGCACCACTGGTGGCACCCGAAGTGAAGGAATTTGTGAAATTTTCGTTTCGTGCATAACACCTTATTTGATGTTTAGTTCTGCTGCATCTTTCGGCATTAAGGATCCCAAGAACGACTACGATCTTCGTTCCCAATACGGACGAATCTTCAGCGTGATAAAGGAACGCATAAACGTCCGGGCCGCAAAACCATTTTTAACAATAATATGCTTCTGTAGTATGTTTTCGTTTAAACGATGGTTTATAATTCTTGTCACAGTGAAATATTATCAAGCTATCGGTTAATGTAAACATGGTATGAATAGTGTTCAGTAGATGGGTGGTGTCAAAGGAAACAGACTATTGCTTCTAATAATTGGACTCTGATATATTCAATTCTTTTGAATATCATGTCGACAGTGTTTATTCGCATATTGTAAGCCAAGGTCGGTAACACGGAACCACATAAATAGCGTTTTGTATTGGTCTGGTATATTCACAGATAAGGCCTTGTGGAGACTATTCAGTTTATCGAAGGGACGTCTGGTGAATTGTGTACAATCAAATAACAAACAGAGGGGTAAACTGTCAGAGTTGTCATGGCATTCGTTGGACTGCCTACCAAGGGACAAAGTATGGTGGTAGGTTCTTGCCATCTGTATAACGGAGATGAATACTCATCATTGACTTGTCAGGTTTCCACTGAAATGATACATGAGAGGACAACAGGGTGGCATCGCATTGAGGCTCAACGCGACTGATCCACAGCATGAAATGTCATCGACCCACAAGGCGACCAGATAAAACTACGTTGGGATAAGTGGGATGATTGGGATATTCAAGTTAAACAGCGGCATTGGTATCTCATGTCAGGGAAAAGTCAAGGATGAACAACCTTTTTTTATTAATTAACCTGGGACGCAATGCTTCAGCCTCATCCAAACACTGGTGCCTCCTACTTTAGCACCTAAATTTTGGTTGGTTGGTTTTAGATTAGTATATTTTTAATGTTTACGAGCTCGGTTTTCCCCAAACCCAACAGGTGTTCAATTTTTATTAAGAATAAACTCACTCACTCACTCACTCACTCACTCACTCACTCACTCATGAGATAATTGAAATACTGTTCTGAACGGGGTTAAGCCAAACTCACTCACTCACTCACTCACTCACCACAGATTGACGCAGCTATATTTAGATACGCTTGAACTAGTTTGTAGCGAGTGCAGTGGACATTACTTCCGTGTTGAGCTATCCGGCCAGACACCATGACTGCCGCGACGATATCTAATTGACAACTTGAAGTCTCTGCTGGTATGTGTATCGATATATATTTTACCTTATCACGTGACATAAGATTTGTCAATGTTTACTTGAATCACTATGTTGAGCATGCAAACTGTGAACGCTTCTTCTCTATGACCTAATGTATTGAATGAGTCACCCGCAATATCTCACTGTACTCGAGTACTTTGACACGGCCTCTGAGTGTACATATATATGTGTCGCCTGTGTATGAGATATTTACACTTGGAGGGTATATCAAATATCTTTACAGGTAATATCTAGTTGGTAAAATTTCGATTCTAGCGTGGGGTCTTTGTTGTCTAAACAGAGTGGTGTCCCTTAGTCCTGAATACGACAGTCGCACACACACGTTTGCACGGGAATCTTAGTGTGTAATTATATACATGTACTTATGATGTGAACGCAGAACATGCAAATGTACATTGGCTATGACTCTTGATATTCATTGTATTATTAGTTATTGATACATTGTACATAAAAATATTGAAACAGGGGAAATATTGTATGTAGCTACCTTATGTTTTTGTCAAGGCGAAATTATTCAGTTTTGGGGTTTTTTCACGGCGGAAAATGAGAAAGTTATTGACAAAGATATTCAAAACTGTCGTTAATCATACGGATGCTTGCATACCAGTCTTTTTTCCACAGTTGATATTGACACATTATCAGATTGACTGTATTTCTGTCAGTCATTGGTCTGCCTTGTGGCCTAAGTTGTTACTATTATTTATTCTCAGCACCATGCCCTTGCTCTTAGAGCGGGTTTCCCAGCTGTGATACAACCAAAATACTGTTCAAACCAGATAAATCTATATAAACATGTCATGAGAACACAAAACATGAGTAGATATGGCAATGATGACAACAGTGATGCTTATTTTAGTCGGGTCAACAAGGTGACCACCACTTATACTATCTTGTACGTACATGTGTACATGTGTGCGTGTGTGCGTGTGTGCGTGTGTGCGCCTGTGTGTCTGTGTGTGTGAGTGAGTGTGTCGGTGCGCGTGTGTGTGTGTTTGTGTATATGAATAGCAGCTTTTTGTGTGAAACATATTTTTATTTCCATAACAAAAGTACAAATTAACACCAAAATCACACTTACGACATAAGGCAGCTGGTAGGATGGACGTGTCATTCTACACCCATACAGGGGAGGATGTGGGCTTATAATGGGGTTATTCCAAACATATAGTGAAGTGCATGTACGTGCGCGTGTGCGTATGAATAGCAGCGTTCTGTGTGAAATATGCATTTATTTTCATGAGAAAATAACAGTTTATCACTACTATCACACACACTATGTGCGCGTCTTTGGATGCAATAATCCGAACTAATGCCGGTTTAATTGTTCTACCCCACTAAGATGCCATGCTGCAGTTTAAGATGACTATTCTACACAGACACAGTATACTGTCCGACAAGTCCTTGTTTTATCCCCTTAATGCAGAGCATAGTTTATGGACACTCAGGACAGTCTCTAAATAAATGACAAACAATTAATCTTAATTCCAGATCTCAGCGAGGTGCCAGACAGCAGCATAATGAAGATAGCTCCTGCTGCTCTGCTGTATGTCATTGCAGGTACGTCATGTGCAGTGATTGTATAGTTTTACCTATTAACTTATTCTTTTGTGCAGTGAAAATTGACGATTAAGCAGTAATTACATCAGATAATAGAAGATCTTGTTTATGCATCACAAAAGGTCAAACAGACAGAACATGACTCCACTTGGCGTATTGTACGGTCACACCTCATGCTACATGTTACACATCCACATATCTTCTTCCTGCAGGTGTTGTATCAGGTGCACCCAGTGCCAGTCCAGTGTTGTCTGCAGTGTCTGACACAGCCAGGTTCAGCTGGGAGGTTCCACAGGGAAGTCTTGGGACAGGGAGTAGTTTCTACACTGTCGGTCCTGCTGGTGTCACTGTGTTTGCAGTGACAGCTGCTGGGGCATCTGTTGTGTTTGGCAGCTACAGAGGTAGACTGGAGAACCAGGGGGACATAGCAGCCAGGAATGTCACCTTCACCCTGAGCAACATCCAGACATCTGATGCAGGGACATACACGTGTAGGGGTGGAGGGGCTACTATTGTGATACAAAATTGTGGACAGAAACTTGTTGTTCTTGGTGAGTGTCTATTTAACCAGTTGCTGTTTGGTATGCGATGAAAATAGATTAGCCCTCTAAATATTCCAGAAACATATTCAGAAGAAAGATAAAATGCATGTATAATCTTGACTACATGTATGTGTTTGATCACACCTGTCTAACAATGTAACATATACAAAATCGTTGAATCATATTTTTAGACTTCCTACTGCAAATAAGGACGATTGGTCATACCAGGACTTTGATGTATATTATCTGTCAATCTAATCGATTATCAAATTCATACGCATCCATTATTCCTGGAGTTCTATACGTACATAAATACATACATACATACGTATGTAAATCCATGAAAACATATCAGTAACTTATGTTTGCTTCCATTAGTAGACAACAATCTAAATAACAGTCAGGTACTACTCAGGGATACAGTGGATGTATGTTTGTATTTTACTTGCCGTGAATCTAAGACAAACTATCTTGTCTAGATGTTGGTGGATCACGTTACATTGTTCACCTCAGACCAACAAGATAAGAACTCGTTTACGCTGAACACTACGGTACCACACAAACAATGTTTTAGGGCACTGAAATCCTTATTTAAATAAAACATACATCCACTAGAACAGTTTGAAAACTTAAACAACATTTCATCATGTACTTTTCGACAGGGCGTGTCCTGATCATGAGACGAGACGTCACAACATCAGATCTCGAACACAAACTCGCCAATTGATGAAAACAAACTGAGTGTAGTGAGTGAGTGAACACTATTGATGTAGGATGACATCTTTCCCACTTTTGTGAAATCCACGAGGACATGTGTGCTGCCATCAAACAGAGAATCATAAACAGGGTGAATCGTGGATTCGAACCCACGATCATCTCTTCTAGCACGCCTGGATGGCGTCAGCCTGACAGAGAATTGTGTCCCTGGTATCTAATGATTCACACTGTGTATGACGCCTAGTTGGCGTCACCCAGACAGTGAATTGTGTCCCTGGTATCTTATGATTCACACTGTGTATGACGCCTAGTTGGCGTCACCCTGACAGAGAATTGTGTCCCTGGTATCTAATGATTCACACTGTGTATGACGCCTGGATGGCGTCACCCTGACAGAGAATTGTGTCCATGGTATCTAATGAGTCACATTGTGTATGACGCCTGGTTGGCGTCACCCTGACAGGGGATTGTGTCCCTGGTATCTAATGATTCACACTGTGTATGACGCCTAGTTGGCGTCACCCAGACAGTGAATTGTGTCCCTGGTATCTAATGATTCACACTGTGTATGACGCCTAGTTGGCGTCACCCAGACAGTGAATTGTGTCCCTGGTATCTTATGATTCACACTGTGTATGACGCCTAGTTGGCGTCACCCTGACAGAGAATTGTGTCCCTGGTATCTAATGATTCACACTGTGTATGACGCCTGGATGGCGTCACCCTGACAGAGAATTGTGTCCATGGTATCTAATGAGTCACATTGTGTATGACGCCTGGTTGGCGTCACCCTGACAGTGAATTGTGTCCCTGGTATCTAATGAGTCACATTGTGTATGACTCCTAGTTGGCGTCACCCTGACAGATAATTGTGTCCCTTGTATCTAATGAGTCTCATTGTGTATGACTCCTAGTTGGCGTCACCCTGACAGAGAATTGTGTCCCTGGTATCTAATGAGTCACATTGTGTATGACTCCTAGTTGGCGTCACCCTGACAGAGAATTGAGTTCCTTGTATCTAATGAGTCTCATTGTGTATGACCCTGACAGAGAAATGTGTCCCTGGTATCTAATGAGTCACATTGTGTATGACCCTGACAGAGAAATGTGTCCCTTGTATGTAATTAGTCTCATTGTGTATGACCCTGACAGAGAAATGTGTCCCTTGTATCTAATGAGTCACATTGTGTATGACCCTGACAGAGAAATGTGTCCCTTGTATCTAATGAGTCTCATTGTGTATGACCCTGACAGAGAATTGTGTCCCTTGTATCTAATGAGTCTCATTGTGTATGACCCTGACGGAGAAATGTGTCCCTTGTATCTAATGAGTCACATTGTGTATGACCCTGACAGAGAAATGTGTCCCTTGTATCTAATGAGTCTCATTGTGTATGACCCTGACAGAGAATTATGTCCCTTGTATCTAATGAGTCACATTGTGTATGACCCTGACAGAGAAATGTGTCCCTTGTATCTAATGAGTCTCATTGTGTATGACCCTGACAGAGAATTGTGTCCCTTGTATCTAATGAGTCTCATTGTGTATGACCCTGACAGAGAAATGTGTACCTTGTATCTAATGAGTCACATTGTGTATGACGCCTAGTTGGCGTCACCCTGACAGATAATTGTGTCCCTTGTATCTAATGAGTCTCATTGTGTATGACCCTGACAGAGAATTGTGTCCCTTGTATCTAATGAGTCTCATTGTGTATGACCCTGACAGAGAAATGTGTCCCTTGTATCTAATGAGTCACATTGTGTATGACTCTGACAGAGAAATGTGTCCCTTGTATCTAATGAGTCTCATTGTGTATGACCCTGACAGAGAATTATGTCCCTTGTATCTAATGAGTCACATTGTGTATGACCCTGACAGAGAAATGTGTCCCTTGTATCTAATGAGTCTCATTGTGTATGACCCTGACAGAGAATTGTGTCCCTTGTATCTAATGAGTCTCATTGTGTATGACCCTGACAGAGAAATGTGTCCCTTGTATCTAATGAGTCACATTGTGTATGACGCCTAGTTGGCGTCACCCTGACAGAGAATTGTGCCCTTTGTATCTAGTGACCAATATGCCCTGCGTTGATGACGACACGGTTCATTTACATCATGGTAATCACTTTGGGACGCGAATTGCACCGTTATAGATGAAATGGGCATCTCGAACCCGTAAATTTCTGCAGTTCAAGTTAAAGTTGTAATAGTCAGCCTTTTTACGAATAGGAGGGGATGCAGTTTGTGGTTGGGCAATTCACGTTTAAAAATCATAACACGTCAACGAAACAATACAGCTCGAGGAAGACCGGGGTTTGGCTCTCCAATTGGATGAAATATGAGAAGCCCATTTTTATTACGCCCTTGGTGTTGTTAGAGTTATATTACTTAAGTAAGCACACAAACACTCACTTGCGCATTCACCCACGAATTCACTCACTATAGATCTCTTATTTATATATTAAACCGTAAGAACAATGCTTCTAAATTCTAAATTCTAAATGATCTCTTTCAAAAGGCAAGCCGACAACACCTGTCCGTCCAGTGTCAACAACTCCAGTGTACAACCAGCAAGTGACCTTGACCTGCAGCTCCACCTCTACCACTGTCCCAGCTGACCATGGCCTGACCTTGACCTACATCTGGCAGCGTGACAGAACTGACATCACAGTAACCTCCCCTGGTTCCCCCTACACCTTCAGAGTGAGTTCCCGGGACAGTCACAGCTACAGATGCAGAGCCAGAGAAAGTCAGGGTCTGGAGTCAGAGTGGAGCCAGGGGTACAACATGGAGCCTCAGTGTGAGTACAGCCTACACATTACCGAATCCCGTAATGCTCAATCATGGTTAGCCAAACTAATAATAATAAAACATAATTATTAACATTAAAAACTGCTTTTTTCGACGAAACTGGAAGGGAGTGCCAGTGACGTTTTGTTAGTTATATATGGCTGTTCGCATTCCATTGGTAGCTCAGGGATCTACTAAATTAATTTGTTTCTCACCCACAGGTAAAAAATCATTATGGGTCTATTCTTGGTCAAACCATCATCACACCATTCAACAAACTTACTTCTTTGAACTTAACTTTGCAAATAAGAGTAGCCCCTATGGACAAAATGGACGGCTAGAAATGTCAACCGATGCAATCCCCAGTCTTAGCGCACCATTAATCACAATCAGTTCCTTTACTTATGAGAATGCTTCTATGGTCCAATGGACAGAACGCCCGCCAGAGATCGGAATGCCGTTCCATTCCCGAACGCGCCCCACCAAAATACGCTACAAAATAGAACTTGTCATTAAGAGGCTCAAACAAGGTCTGGTCGGCTCAGGGTCGGTATACTGTGTCTGAGTGGAGTATTCTTGTTAAATTGCCGCATCTCAGTGGGCTAGCGCTATACACACTGCATTTGTCCGGACTAGTTCAACCACACACACACACACACACACATGTGCCTTCACGTCATTATAGTGCAATAGTCCTCAAACCACATTTCACCTCACCTCATAACTTATAAACTACCTGCTGACTCGTGTAAAATCGCACAGGCAACATGACAAAAGTGACTGATTGATGCCTCGATCGTGTCTCGGGGACTCCTCGCATACACATAACCGAGTTTGATACCATGCGTCCATATTTTCCTGTTGACTGGTGGTGTTAGTTTTGATGATATTATTAAGTTATTACAGAATCTGCAACTTATCATTTCTTGCCGTCGACCTCTGAGAAAGCTGAGCACTACACATTTCTAGGCTATACTTTTTGTTTTCATTTTGTTATAATTAAATTTTCGTTGTGTTCATGGAAATTCCTGCATTTTGATTAGCTGAATTGGTCACGTGTTATTGCATTCATTTCCCAATGAATGTAAAAAATTAAGCCACGCCCACCGCGGCGCACTACTTTTATTACTTCGGAATGTCGGGGAATCCCAATATTACAGTCGAGGGAATTCCCTTTCTGCTCACGTGTATCGTCATGCACAGGACATTTAGCGACTTTCATGCATATTCATTTTCCAAACAACCCTTTGAAACCGAAGGCCGAAAACGAATGAAACAGCAAACGTGCAGGCTCTCTCGCCTGTTTTTGTCCCCGCTCGTCTCGGTTCAACTTTCATGTCTTCGGGTTTCATTTCTAACTAGCATTTCTCTAACTGAGTTTTACCGTAATCAGGAAGTAATGTTTGAATCACGCAGTAAATGACCATGTTATTTGAAACAGCCGCCTTCTCTCGGTCGACATATTTCTTCCGGTTCGTTACAGTCTGACTGTTGCAGTTCTTTTTGCCTCTTGCCTTAATTGACAGGTCTAATGAACATTGTTTTAATCCCACTCTCCGTTGATTGGCTACTGACTGTGTAGGCGTGTCAAGTTATGTGCATAAATTAAACGATCACCTGATTCATGTCACGCCACTGTATATATTCCTACACCTGGAATGTTTATCAATGTCGTCATTTTTGTCTGTTTTGATATATGCAACTGTTTTGGGTTAAACTATTGTAGATAAAACATGTTTAACGTTGTCGAATTTAATTATAAGCATTGACCGTATATTTTTTTCGGTTCATTGAGGTATGAATCGAAAAACCGACGTGCAAACTTTTGTAAGAATCCGCTACGCGGATTCATACAGTTTGCACATCGGTTTTTCGATTCATACCTCAATGAACCGAAAAAAATACACAGTCAATCCTTAATTCAAAGTAATTTTATGAATATCATCAACTCATCATTGTTTTCCACATGTGTGTTATTAGAGGTATAATTATATCTTTTATCACGGTATCAGTGTCTCAGTGCCATGTATTCCAGACGGGCCCTACCAGATCTCCCTGACCCCCTCCATCTCCTCCTACACTGTGACAGAACACCAAGCTCTTCCATCAATCACGTGCTCCGCCATCTGTAGACCCGGATGTACCTACAGATGGTTTCACAATGGAACAGCCTTCAGCAGTGGAGCCGTGCTCCAGGGACAAGCTGACAGATCTAAGACAGGCTCCTACAGATGTCAGCCTTCCAACACACACGGGAGTGGTGACAGTGTTACAGTCAGTGTCGATGTTCAGTGTAAGTATATAGTCCACACTGGTGACAGTGTTTCAGTCAGTGTCGATGTTCAGTGTAAGTATATAGTCTACACTGGTGACAGTGTTACAGTCAGTGTTGATGTTCAGTGTAAGTATATAGTCTACACTGGTGACAGTGTTTCAGTCAGTGTCGATGTTCAGTGTAAGTATATTGTCTACACTGGTGACAGTGTCACAGTCAGTGTTGATGTTCAGTGTAAGTATATTGTCTACACTGGTGACAGTGTCACAGTCAGTGTTGATGTTCAGTGTAAGTATATAGTCTACACTGGTGACAGTGTTACAGTCAGTGTCGATGTTCAGTGTAAGTATATAGTCTACACTGGTGACAGTGTTAAAGTCAGTGTTGATGTTCAGTGTAAGTGTATAGTCTACACTGGTGACAGTGTTACAGTCAGTGTTGATGATCAGTGTAAGTATAAAGTCTACACTGATGACAATTTTACAGTCAGTGTTGATGTTCAATGTAAGTTTATAGTCGATAGCGTCAATGTTCAGTTTTAAGTTTAGCACGCTATACTCATGGCATTTGTGTTTGGCGTCTTTCTAGGTTAATATTGTGGATAAACGTATATGTTCTTAAGCACTCTCTTTAAAAAATACCTGTGTTAGCGCATGCGCTAACTGTCACACATTTACTATGGTATACTCTTCAAGCAAGTCCCATGTACAGCCAATACCTTCCGTGACAAAGATACAACGAGTTATATTTATTTTTTCAGACCCAGCAACTGTAATCATGTTCACCGTCAACTCACTCAGCGGTACATTGGCAGTTAACGAGTCTGATCCGGTGACGTTACGATGCCAGGTTGATAGTAACCCAAGGTCAGTCATCAGATTACTGAATGGAACTGAGGAGTTGACAAGGGCAGATAACTCCATGACAGCAGAATATAGACTGGCGTCAGCAGACTGTAGACAAAGAGGGAACTACTCCTGTACTGCCACTAACAACATCGGGGCACCTGTCAGCCAGAGGGTGGAGTTGCTGGTCAAATGTAATCTGTTTGGATATTCTATACGGATGGTAGTATTGATGGTTTATGTCGCAACTTTGTCTATGATAATAACACTGTTGAGTAAATGGCCGGCCCTCGGTATGCATGCATACTTGTGTTATCATGTCTCTAATGTTGATACTGCAAAGTTGAAGTAACAACGAAAGGCTCCTGATAAATAATTCTAAATACTCCATACATTTAGTCTTCATAATACTAAACGGAGATTATTTGTTCCAGAGCCATTGCATATGTTGTCTACATTTAACTAGGTTCTCCTCGACTTGATGAGACAGCTGTCAAGCAACTCAAATACGCCTCTAGACTGGGTGGTAACGTGAACGTGTCTGTGTCAGTCCTGGCCTACCCCCTTCCTACATTCACCTGGAGTAGAACCACCAGCACCAGCCAGGACCTCACTGGTTCCTCCATCCCTGTCTCCGCCATCTCGGTCACTGCCAGACTACACCTTACTAACCTCCAACAGCAGGACTTCGGGGACTACAGTCTCACAGTCAACAACGGTGAAAGCAGTTCAGTGACATATACAGTCAGCATAGTGTCTGAAGGTGAGCCGCGATATTCTGATTTGTTCATATGTTTCAATACCTATCTCTGACTGTTGTTTAACAATTGCATCTTCATTGTACAAATAAAGAGCTTAACATTACAGCATTCTCTGATAAAGCTTTTACAGCATTCCTTTTCATATTAATTTGTTGTCAGGGCCACCAGATGTACCTACACAGTTTAGAGACCTGGATAATGCAACAACGTCGTCGGTATGGTTATCATGGCTGCCTGGTTTCAATGGTGGACACCCTCAGACGTTTCTGCTTGAGCATCTCAAGTTTGCTACAAGAACTTGGACTGTCTACAAGACCTATGCAGACACCGGCAAGATGATGGTGGTGGAAGTGACTGGGCTTACACCAGGAGATATTCACATATTCCGACTACATGCTAGAAATGACTATGTGGATTCTAACAGATATGTATTTGTAGAAACTAGGACTGCTGGAGGTATGTGTCACTCAAGTAGACACAAATTGTTTAATCTGATAATCAATTAACAACTGATCACCATAAAATTTTAATATATAAGCATATGTTTTATTTGGAAGTTCTACTTTTTCCTTGTTTATGTAGACAAACATAACTCATCTTCTTTATATTTTAAGTAATTTCCCATTGAGAAGTACTTCAAGTAATGTTCCTTATATCTATTCATTCAACGTGAAACTGTGTATCTGGGTTCGAGCCAATGAGTTGTGACCTACATATCTGTTAACAGTTGCAGCATCAATAACACCAAACATTAGGTAATATATAATATTAAGAATCTTGAGCATGTTGTTAATGCGTATGCACAGAAATGTCAACATTGCCCATATTAGGGCATATGTCAATATTCATGCGCAACCAGATTTTGCAACCCGTTTCAGTTTTGTCTGTCAACGAACGAAAGTTGTTATGTATTTACTCTTGAATATATATTTAACGTGGGTAATGAAAAATATACCTCACTGATTCTTATAAGATACATATTTTACGAAACTCGTGAACTTTCTGTGATATTTGACCTCGCTTTCGCTCGGTCAGATAACATAGAAAGTTTCGTAAAAAAACTATGTAATGTTTGTAGTACTCTCTATTTGCCAACCAATCACAAATTAGTTTGTTTGAGAGTAGGAACCTGGAAATGAATACACTTTCACCTGAATAAAGTGACATACGCGGATAAGCACTCGTCTGTGATGATATTTTGTTTATTTTATAGATCCACCCAATCAACAAAAACTCGAATCTCCATCTTCGCATGCAGGGGTAATAGCAGGATCCACAGTCGGAGGCATGCTTCTTACTATGCTCCTTGAGGGAATTATTCTGATCGTACTGTACAGAACAGGCTACAGGCCTAGGATCGGACATATTCTGAAAGGTATTTAGTTAAATTTCTATTGTAAAATTATTGTCAACAGGAATAATTTCATTATGATGTTCCATGCGTTTGAATGTATAATTGTCAGGCCTAGGATTTCCTAATCTGCATTGATATTGACAAAAGGATACATTTGAACCAACAAATGTTTGATTAAAGGTTGTTATTAATATATTTATATGCAGTCATTTAAAGTTGACTTTATTCTTGCACTGAAGGTTTCTTTCGTGATTGACGAGTTTTGTTGTATGTGTGACGTGTTTTTTACATTATGTACCATGTGGCTATTTTTGTTTTCCAGAAACTGCATTACGAAAAAGGTATTATAAATGTCAAAGTTAAAGATAACAATGAACGGAACATTTGCAAAAAAATAAACAAGATAAGTTGTCAAAATAAGACAACTAAAAACAATATTGCATACTGAAGTTAATCGCTTCATTATATTATGTTTTTTTAGAAACCGACCTTATTATTTTTGCAGCACCAGGAATCCTGAAACTGTAGAAATGGACAACATAGGGTATTCATCATTAGGTTAGTACTGTTTATTGGGTTTCCCTTTTGTTGATATTACTATATATATGGGTCCGTTTAACACTGAAATCATTACAATGTTTTCACATTGTTTTGTTTCAGATCAGATAAATGTCCCAGCCCAGCATTCAAATGTGAAGGAATCAGAAAAACAACCGTATTCACAGTTGACGATTTATGAGAATACAAAAGGTGGATATAGATTTTGCATTTTGCTCAATACTGTTTAATTTTAAGTATTCCAGTGAAGGTAATATTGACGTGCCAGTAAGAAGAAGAGAGTTATGATTTGGATTTGTTGTTAAATACGTAATGAATTACATCTTCAGCGGATGCTGCAGCAGGTACAAGTACCTATGAAGGCATGACAGAGACTCCCCCTGTGACCTATGAGTCCATCAGAGCATCACCATACCAGAACACTGGAGCAAATTCTCAAGGTAACCAAAACATGAAACACTCTTGCTGGTTGGAATCGTATGTCATTGCCATGGACGAAGCATTAAACAGATGCATATGCCTTCTTTTCTATCCCAATGTAACACGTTTAGCACGTCATGTTATTGTGAGTGATATGAAATCTGTCATATAATCTGTGTTTAATTACATGTAGTTCTATACTTTTCAGGTTCTGACCATGACAATAAGTAACGAAGAAGGAAGACATCATCATATCAGATCCAGTAACAGACCAAGGAACATGTGCAATATATTATATTCCTTTCCTTTGAGTCAAAACATCGTTAGATCCGGGGTAGAATAAGTCTTCAGCAACCCGTGCCTGCTGTAAAAGGCGACTACGTTTGTCATAAGAAGCGTCCAACGGGGTTGGGTGGTCATGCTCGCTGAGTTGGTTAGATCGGTGCTTATGTAATCGTCACTGGATTGTCTGGTCCAGTCTCGATTATTTACAGACCTTCGTTATATAACTTGAATATTGCTGAGTGCGGTGTTCAACAACGATCCAACAACAAAACATCGCTATTACTCACTTCACGTTTTCATAACATTAAATTATGTTGGTTATGCTCGTGTCTATATATGTATCGCCTTTGTCACTGAATGTCACATAGCAAATAAATACATTTTCAAAATAAATTAACAAAACGCTTTGATGATCACGTTAACATAATGGAAACATTGCTGATGAAATATTGTTATCAGTGTCAGATTTCTGGGACTTTAACCTGTTGCTATTACATGGTGCGAAGCAGCATATGTTGTTGAACCTAAATGAGGAAACCTGATCAGCCAGGTTTTGTTTTTAGTTTTTAACATACAGTCGTATAAAGTCAGGTATTGTCATCACTTAACCAGATGCCAGTACTGCAATATTATGATAAATAATTCACCTTAATTCAGGAGGTGAGGTGATGTGAACTGGCTTTTAACGTCGCAATTGTATTACCCTTATTTAGTGTAGGTGTGTGAGCGTGTGTGAGCGTGTGTGAGTGTTTAAGTATGTGCCTGTGTGAGTAAAGAGTGTGTACGTGTATACTTGTTTGTACAAGTCATAACTGCAGACCGCCATTGACAGCCCACTGAGATGCACTGCCTCGTGTAAACATGGATTCCCCACTCAGAAACAGTATCCTGCCTCTGAGCCACCGACAAGGACTTGTTTTATCTTTAATTGCCGAGCACAAAGCAGGGTAACAACAAGTTCCATTTTTAAAAGTTTTTTGGTATGACACGACAAGGGATCAAACCACAGACCTTCCGCTCTCTGGGCAGACCTTCTGACCATTAGATCACAGAGGCAGAACAAAAAAACACGAATATCACACAAGTGGCAATGCCTACCATAACTCTCACTGTGATGTTTACATTGCTTTAAACTGCCTCTTTATCAGTCGATGTGGTTACATGGCACATTACTAAAACTGTGGTGTGTGTTGGAAACATTGATTTCTTCTTCAATGTTGGGATGTTATAATCTGTAGGTGGGATATAACATTTGGATAGATTTGTTTTCAAGTCAGACGAACGACAAATGTAACAACAGTAACATGCACAGTGGGGCCATTGGCTTTGTGAACATAAGGACTAAATCAGTGATGAGTGGTTTATTGTCACATATAGATCTAGAAAAGATAGATGGCTCGGATGAGGATGACTGAGAAGAGGACGATGATTTGGAGGATTCTAAAGGTGACTTTATATTGGCTGCCCCATTGCCAAATAATCGTGGCTGTAGTTTTGTGTTTGTGATGACAGACGTGTTTTCCAGGTATCTTCATCTGAAACAACCGAGGAGGGACAAAAAAAACGAATATAACTTCATTGATTTCAGAAATATGATATTGATTATGAAACAAACAAGTGCTCTTTTCATGCTTTCCGAGATTATGAATACTGAATAACTGTTTTGAATAAAGCTCACATGTGAACAATATTGCTTCTGTAAATTTACAATATTTCCCACAAACCCAGGCGATAGTTCTAATGCACACACTGCATGTCAGTTTATAGAAATCAATCATTCCGATTTGTGACCTACATGCTAACCATGACTTTGAAGAAGTGAGTGAGTGAGTTTGGTTTTACGCCCTTTTAGCAACATTCCAGCAATATCATGGCGGGGCACACCAGAAATGGGCTTCACACATTGTACACATGTCGGGAATCGACCCCGGGTCTTCGGCATGACGAGCGAACGCTTTAACCACTAGGCTACCCGACCGCCCCTGACTTTGAAGAAAGATATGTAACATAGTTTGTAATGTGTTCAGTGGGTCCACGTGTTAGGTAACTCCATATACTCGAGTAGCCTCTTAAGGTCGGCATTGCTCTGTTGTTTCATAACATATAGCCAGTGTCATTCTGAAAATGATTTCAGTGGCCAGATGATCAAGATTACACATTTCACTTGTTCAATAACCAGTGTATGAATACATAGGCTAATCTGTATTTATATGTTTGCTTGTTTGTGTGTTTGTTTATTTGTTTATTTATTCATTTACATGAACATGTGTAACTGACACAGTTTGTTCTCCTTCCTGCAACAACATTGAGGGTGATGTATTGAAAATTATACGCAGCCCCTTTTTAGACAAAGGAGAATAGTATGATATACAACGTCAACACCAGAACATAACCAGTCTCGATTATCTGCAAACCAAATTTCCTCGAGGCGTAAAAGGCAAAATAGCAGCGGAAATTATTTGAATGGATTACTGAAAATCAGTGATGACACAAGGTGTGCGCCAAAAAGCCCTGATCGACCGGTAGCACGCGTCACTCACGCAAATTGCAGAAACAAAGTAATCGTTTGTTTGTTGCCTGACGCCGTACGGCAGTATTACTTCCCCACATTCATGGGTACTCGTCTGTAACACGTCTACACAGACACCTACAATCAATACGCATGCACTGTGCCCCAGCACCCTTACCTGCTAGTTTGTTGCGTGGTCGTCCACGTTTGTCACCATGCAATGAATAACCAGAAATTCTGAATGAATACAAACTGAGAACTATTTCATGTCTACACAGAACCATACAATCAGTAGGTTCACACTATTACCAAGTGACAATATCTGCTTTGTGTAACACACGACCTAGTTTAATGGGTACACGTCTGAGTGACATAAATCATTCCGTGAATATATATATATTTCCATTTCCATGCAAGCCAGGTATATATATATAGACTGTAGTTTAACGCCAGTATCTATTTCCTACACCCGACCTAGTTTCACACACAGCTTTCATGTATAAAACTAAAAACTATACCACGTCTACTTTAGTCAGTACATGCAACCTGGAAGTAGATATACACTGTAGTTCAGCGCCAATATACATTACGTGTGACACCCGACCTAGTTTCACACACTGCCGACATGGCCATGCTGTACACCCGTCTCATCCTCACAGTTGGAGCTCTCTTGGTGGACATATGTCACAAACACGTGGGTAAGTACACGTATCTGACTGCTTGTGGTTTATGTGTGTTAATATTATTGCATCAGGGGTAAACGTAATGAATCTCACACTCAGTTCCCACACATACAGTGGCTGAAAATAGAACCAGGAAGTAGATTGCACATATATGTCAGTGGGGAGGACACGCCTGTAGTTACATACATCTACCTCCGCATGTTGATGATAAAGAATGTTGAATATACATGTGGTTTACTAGTTATGAACATGAAGCATACAAATGAATAAAACATTGATCTCGTTATGTAGAAGTAGTTAGTTTTGTCAGGTCCTAACAGCATGCTTTATTTATCAGCACATGAAACGGGATAACGAGAATTGTTTATAATTATACAGAATCAGCTAGTCGGTTTGGTTTAACACTGGTTTGAACAGTATTTCACTTACAGCTGTGTGTCAGCTTGATGAAGGAGGAAAGCCAGAATGTATGTCTTACCCATTCACTTTGGTGAAACCCACGAGCGCAGGTGTAGTGCTGACAAACCAGGAAAACATATGTGAATAAATCACAATGGAATAGCAATAATACCAGGTCTTCTAAAGAGTGATTGAAAGGAAACTAGTTCACTTTTTTAAAGACCTTATTTCATGTTCAGTATATCAATGGCTGCATCGCTTCATTGAGATGATGCGGACACCCTTTAATATATGAAACACCATGCTGAATATACGTTCACAACTTCAAACGAACTACTGTTAATTGCCATTCAAACCCACTGTGTTTCAAAATGTCAGTGTGATTATCCAATACTTGTCGGTATTCGGGGTTTTCCAAGAATGAGATTTAACCCGAGTCCCAACACGAAAAGGTCTTCAGCGAGAAAACGCTATGAATACCCAGAACACCAACAACCTTCAGTGATCTCAGGTTTTCCTCAGGTTTTATCGCTTACATTATGTTCGTCATTGAAGGGGTAACTTCATATACTGCCAACATATGTTAAACTAATAATGGACCCCTTATCTATTCAGTCTCTTGAATGTCATGTTGACTGTGATAGTGAACCTTTTGTTGCCCGTGTAGCTGTTCTGAACACGGGAGAGTCACCTGCATGTGCCTATTGTAAGCTATGGTCAGTGACACGATACCAGTTTAATAGCGTGTTGTATTGATCTTGGTATATGCAAAGACAAGGCAATGTGGAGACTATTCAACTTGTGGTGGCTAGTGTACGATCCAATAACACCCAGGGTTGTGAATGGTGGAAGTTGCCATGGCATTTGTCGGGCTGCCTCCTCCGGTGTAAAGTATGGTGTCCCTTCTGTGTCAGAACTGTGGAGTTCTAGGCTTTTCATATAGGCACCATATTCCCAATGCTTTGTTGCATAAGAGGACAATATTTCGGGATGAGAGCACAGTGCATCGCAAGGCGCCACAACGCGACTGATCCACAGCATGAAATGTCATCAGTGAACAAGGCGATTAGATTAAACCATGGTGGCTGTTTAGAGTTATCTTGTGTTGAAATAGATTGGACGGTTTTTCCACCACCCCATACGCATGTGTTGATATAACATTCTGAATAACACTCTTTTCTCATTGTAATTTGTTTAATTAGCAATGTAGCTTTCTTCAATATATTAAATTCTTTTCCATTATATTTCCTAATTCATAACTATATAAAGCCACATATTTACAGCGGGAGTTCAGCAGTTGTCATGGGAAATATTTCATGCAAATTTAATCTGATGATCATCGGATTTGCTGACGTATCGATGCAATGCATAAATATTTAACCATGATTGCCTTCTTCGATGCCTTCCTGTGCCACTTGAACCTTGTTGATTCGAAAATGAGAGGATGTGTGAAGCGTTGTTTGACTCTCCACAAATATATAACATATACATAAATAATGAAACGTTGGTTGTTGTACACAAATGCACGCTTATTTCTTGACCTTCTGACAGCAAAACATCTAACTATGATGGAATGAAGAGAAATGCTGAACCACCTCGATCACCTCGATTGTTTGCTAGTTATTTTGGTAAATGTAATTTAACACTGCCTTCCTCAGTCGATGTTGCGTCAAAACAGTGATTCCCCAGTACAAATTAACACTGCCTTCCACAGTCGATGCTGCTACAAAAGAGTGATTCTAAGATACAAATTAACACTGCCTTCCTCAGTCGATGCTGCTACAAAAGAGTGATTCTCAGATACAAATTAACACTGCCTTCCACAGTCGATGTTGCTACAAAAGAGTGATTCTAAGATACAAATTAACAGTGTCTTCCACAGTCGATGTTGGGTCAAAACAGTGATTCCCCAGTACAAATTAACACAGCCTTCCACAGTCGATGTTGCGTCACAACAGTGAATCCCCGGAAGAAATTAACACTACCTCACACTGTCGATGTGGTGTCAAAACACTGGTTCTCTGGTACACATAGACACTGCCCTATACTTTTGATAATTCTTTCTCAAGATGACACATGTTCTTGTTTAAAACAGTACTGTGTTGCTGAATTCAACAACAATTGTTGTTTTTGTCATTATATTATCAGTGCTGATATATTTTAATAGTATTTATCTCGACATTGCGAATGCGTGATTGCTATGAGACTGTCACCTTGCTAGGAGTACCAGCAAATATGAGAGTCCAAAATGTCTGGGAACGAAAACATACCATCGACGTGGTTCATGTAAATAAAAGCAACAATAAACATTTCAATAATCATAAGACGTATCTGCTTGAAGAAGAGGCCATTGTGCAATTGTGCTAATTTCATACGCATGGGTTTATGAATCACTATCAAATATGTTACAAGGTGTTCACGATACGGTCAGCGTGTCCGGCCTGACCAGTGGCATCCCTCACAAACAGAAGCAAAGACATGTACCATGTTCACTAGAATATAACAGGGCAACACATGATAGCAATAAGGAATTGCACCGGACATCAATTTTGTGACTGATGTCTTCCACATATCTACCATAAAACTACCCGAAATGCTGTTACACTGATCAAACAACTTTTGAGCATGAGTTGTAAGACACTCTTTGAAAGTCTCATAGAGAGAGCATGCTCGATTGTATACTGTGATACAAATAGCTCACTATTGCTGTTGCTGCCGGTACTGATGCCACATTGTACTAATATGGGCAAACATGCGACCAGCTGTGTTATTCAAACATGAACAATGTGAAGCTTATCTTTCGTAGTGCGTTAAAGAAATCGTATGTCGTGATAAATTCATTTATTGTTCATTTGACGAGGTATCAAATAAAAGTGACAAAAACTATTTCCATATTCATAAGAAACCCCTGCCAAAAGCAGTCAATTTAAAATTCCGACCATAACATTAGCATGTATCAATGAATGACCATCACGTAGTGATGATACCATGAGAGCGTTTCCTGCCCCACTAGTGGCCCCCGTCACAAACACATTTGAAACCAAGTCAATTGTTCACTTGAAAAAATGGAACAAGTCAAAATACGGACTTTTGTTGGACATCATTTTTGTCGCTGATGCTTCAAATACGAATTTCAACAATGTAATGTACAGTGTGTTTCTTCACAACTATACAAACTCTCCAATTCACGGAAAGAGTCCGAAATGCATCGTGTGTAGCAGTGGAATCTGTTCCAATGTGCCGGATTGGGCGATGTGACAACAGAATTGTTGTTGCACTAAGGGGGCACCACATATTGGATATAAGCAGTACTTAGAAACGATGAGTCAGATAGGTCGGATCAGTAGGTCGGATCAATAGGTCGGATCAATATGTTATGTGTTGTGTAGCTGTAGAATACATATGATCTGTGGGTATGGCGTGCTCATCTATTTATATCTCGGTGTAGTTCTGACCTACTTATTCTCTCGCCCACCCGGAATTACAATACCATTTCAATACGTACACTTCAGATGACAACACTGTGTATGTGTGAGCGTGAGCTCTAAAATGTTTACCTGTGGATATCTCACATACATTTCACTTCTGATTCTGGTGGATGTAGGACAGATTCCCCGTACAGGTAAGGGGACTGCTAGTTGTGATCGGAACTACAGGGACACCTGAACTCGTGTATGTATGTAATAGTCATGGTATATGTATCTATGGTAGAGTCATGTATAGATAACTTGTCATTCAGCTAATACACGAAGCAGATAAGTCGGATGTTTAAGTTTACTACTTCTGTGAAACATGATTTACTCCACGAGTGAGGCACAGACCAGATATCATAATTAGAAGAAGAATGAAAGCCAAGTGAAATCACAAAAAGTGTAGTAACTGTAATAACTATCGTCGTGAAATTAAATGTATACCTGACATAACATAATGTCATACATCATTCCCTTATATTAGATTATCACTTTGCTATAAGGACAGGAAACGTAAGATAAAGTGAATGGAAGTAACAAAACGCTGGGTATCAGGAGGAGATTGTGGCCTCATGATGTCCTGAACAAAGTACATAGTAAAAGGAAAAGTGTGAACAGCTTCATGAACAGTCGTACATGTACGGGTGTACTCTGATTCCTTGGTGAATGGTGTATTATATTCAGAAACAAATCAGATACTGGTATTTTTCTGAAATTGTCATAATTAAATGTTTTTACATTCCTTTATGAATGTTGATGGAATATGACATAATATCACTATGGGTGAATATAGTATGAGTAATATTAAGGAGTGTACCTACATGTAATTATTTCTTTGTTTTCGATAATGACATGTGCTAAACAATAGTGTGTTTTCTTTACACAATCAAGCTAATGATAACAACCCCGGTACAATCACATTGTAGGAAATAAGGCTCCTTAACTTTGTGATATTGTTATTCTATTTTTTATTTATTTAAAAAAAACCAAGGTGCGTAGCAATATATGATTCTTAACTTAAGTCGGACTATCCTGATGTGTTTAATATTTCCAGAATGCCAAGGAATAATTTATCAAATAACAACTACTTTACTCCACATTTGATATTCATACTCTCAATGGTCGGTTGCAAGATGATGGCTTTACGTGTGAAATGGGGTTTAACGTCGTTCAAAGTTATTGCACTTATTTAGCGCCGGGTTTGTAGTGCCACGCACATAGATGACATGCAACATTTCAAATGGATATCCCACTAAGTGACGGTATTTTCCGAGCCGACCATTCCTTGTTTTATCCTGTTTATGATGAGTGGCAGACATGGTAACAACAAGTTTTACCCTTTGGCGCGGCTGGGAATCGAACGCTCGACCGTCCGCTCTGAGGACATTCTCGATTGTTGCCCATGGGGATGCCTACAATTTTCCTAACTGTCCAATCCAAACATTGTCACATGAATATTATCTATGATCAAGTCTATCATTTTACATACTATTCCCTCAGTGAACTTCAGATGGCATTTGCCTTCATTTTGTCACATTGTCCTGACACTTTGAAGAGCTGTAACTATATATGAGGTCACCATTTTTAGTCACAAATGCCACACATTCGTTCAACTTGCTTTTGAAGCCTGCGAAGTGACGTTACGTTCGTAAGGGATATCCCAGTTTTAACAAAACTTATTATCTTAGTATGTTCATGGTCAATATACGAATCACATGTTGTCTGCCTTTAGTCATTATTTCTTTTGTCATGTTCTTAAGGACTCTGGTGATACATCTTCCAGATTTAACATATGCCCTCAGCACACCTGGTAATTTGTGATAAACAGAAGTTGTTCAGTTATATCCGAGTAAGTTCTATGTGATAAAACCTCTGCTTTAGTTGGAGTACAGTTTTAGAGTTTGTGAGTAACTGCAAGCCGCCTTTAAAACTAAGCATAAAGTTTAATGTTATTTAAGAGTATGAACCAAGCATCACTATTAACAGCAGACCAGTAGAAAGATCACCAACACAAATACACTTATTCACAGCTAAAGTTTAAATTCTACAGACAAATTGCCAACATTAAGACAAGACGTCGCCTGCCCCACACCTCTACATACGCAGTGCTAAATGGATGGAGCTCTGTTCTAATGAGTCTATCGCAAGCCCCGTCTTAATATGCAAAGTAACCCTGGTGTGCATGCAAGAAAGGGGTGTCGTTTTCTTGAAGCATCAACGTTTAATAAAGCCAGACATATTATCAAGGTACATCTGCATACAATGATTGACGGGTGTTGTTTGGCATCATCTCTATTCTCAAGACCTTCTGCAATGTTATGCCCAACAGAGCTGTCACTGAGTAACGCACGGTACGCTTGTCTTGGTAATGTCAAGTTCGAATTACATCTTATACACACATATCTACGAGCATATTCTGAAGACAAGATGGCTGATGAATACTATGCATGTATGATAAACCAAGACATGTATGTTTTCCGATATGTTTGTTCCCAGAACTGTCTTCATCCATGTTCCTATAGGGAGCCTTTCCAAATAGTAAATCTGAAACATCAGTATTAGAGAACAACCAGTTTCGATTTTCCAAAAAATCAGATTCCATTAAGCATTAAATGCAAACTGGTGGTGTAAGAGTATACAAATGGATCCTGTGTTAAAAAGACATGTTTTTCCATGTTGTCATATACATGACTATAAACATGAATATATGTGCATTTACACCATTATACTGAATTAAACAACAATGATTTTCTACTTTCACGGGTATGTACTGTTTTGACTTCGTGTTGCAAATTGTGCATGGGTGGCCCAGTCGTCTAAGGCGCCGCGATTCGCTGTGCAGAGTTGCGTCCCATGGGTCCGCCAGAAACCTATGATTGTGGGTTCAAATCCCGGTTCGCCCCGATAACATTTCTAGGTTTATCAGCACCATACCTGTGCTCGTTGGTTTCACCGAAGTAGTAAATGTCTGAGACCTGCATCACTTCGGGCTTTCCTCCCACATTAAGCTGACACGCCGTGATATAACTGGAATACTGTTAAAAACGGGGTTAAACACAGCTCACTCAATCACTCCTGTTGCAAATAACAGTAGCCCTGGTCGGACCAAGTGGACAGTCAAGATGTCGTTCTCGTGTCAGCCGATTACATCATGTGTGTTGTGAATCTTTCGTATGAACAGATGAAATTAACAGATGGTGAAGTGGCATGGCAAATACAATGGATTTCATAACAGATGAATCATATGTCTGGAAACTTAATTTTGAATTGTCACAATAGTTTATAGTTAATTTTAGACGAAGTAGATATCCTCTAAACCAAATTAAGTTTAAGTGCCTCTTGCTTCGCATGTTTGAACACGCCCCACTATCGAATTGGCAAGCAGAGTGACTCCCTCATTGATGCAAGCTTCGCTGAATGCTGAGCAATTTAGTGTAGTTTTCTCCTTGAGAGAACACTCTGTGGTCGAATCATCTAGTTCGCATTTTGAATTCTTATTGTACCCTTATACGAGCAATGTCTTTCATATTTTCAATGTTGAATAGCGATACTGTTAAACAAAAATATGTCTACATTCTTCCCTGTAATATGCCGTTTTTATTACTAGTGGTGTATTCAAAAAGTGTCGTGTGTAACATGCGTTTTTGAAAACATTAGTTGTATGAAATATAGCATCTAATAGGGATTTATTTAGTAATCAATATGATACTACACATCTATACATTGTATGCCACCCTTCAGAATAAGTATCTATGTTGGATTCTGATCAATTGTTTTGGTTAATTTTATATTTATATTAAGCGGTCTTCATATAAGTTGTAAAGGGAAGTTACTTTTTTGTTGTTGTTGGTATCGCTATGTGAAAGAGACTGTGCTGTGAGCGGGGGACCGTAAAGGATATAAAACGGTATTTATGCAATTAAATACAAAACTTCATTAAACGAGAAGTTAGACAATATTAAAGTGACCGTTTATTTTCATATTTGCGACTAAATATTAGTATATTCATAGACGTTTCTGCATTATTTTGCAGTCAATCAAGCCGACACCGCTACCTTGGTATTCCGTGGTAACGGCACCCTTCAACCAGAACAAGAATCTGTTAGAATATGAAACTAAGAATAAGAATAAATCCATAACCTCAAAACAATTGAAGAGAGTGAAGATTCACAAATTTATTTTAAGAGGGAAAGCATGTGAAATCATAACTAATGCAGATACATTGCATGTGTGTTATATCGTTTCAGATTCTGCTCCAGTTCTTGCTACCAACAGACGTGTTCCTGTGGAGGGTGTCAGTTTCAGCATCACCTGTACAGGAGTTGCGGCTATCACTTCAGCTACTCGTTTCTATAAGGATACTTCTATCCAGGGCGGCTGCTTATCATCAGGCAGCTGTGGGACATCTGTCTCTGGATACAACGTGAGTCTGGACAGTACATCCAGGATCCTGACTCTAGACATCGCATCACCAGATTCCGTCAGAGACAGCGGGACATGGAGTTGTACTGATGGTGCCACATCGTCTGATACCATCACACTGTCACAGTTTGCAGGTTCGTTATTTGTGTTTGAATCACGTATTGATTACAGGAAACAATCAAACAATGCATGAGGGATCATTTTGTAACAATATAGAATTGGAGAGCAGACAACACGGCATTACTAAAAGGAGAGCTACAGTTGGTTTAGGGCGATCCACGACATGGGTACAATGTGTGAAATTGAGATTTTTTCAAAACAAGCGAAAGCGAGTTAGATACGCTTTCAAACAACGCGTTGTAGTGACGTCATCCGATGCACTGCTTACTTTGCATAAATAATGTTACCCGACACAAAAAGGTTTCAGCCATATCTGTGGATTATGAAGGTGATAGTGCAAACTAGATAAAATCAAAGAACCCGCTGGATGCCAAGTTAAAAGTTTTTACCTCAAAGAAATGACCAGATATGTACAACAATGTTTACTTCCGTTTGACATCACTACCGCTGACCGACTTTTGCAAAATGACGTCTTCACTCGCAACAGTACACGGGATTTCCAGAGTAGGATTTTCATTGATTGAGAGATCGTATACACATAACTTCGTCATGTAAGGAATCAGAAACATTCTGACAATATGCGTACTGTTATGTATTTAATGTTTTCCAATGTAATCAAGAGAATTTGTCAGAAATACAGATAGCTACCGTTGTCGTTGTGCATGACTTTCCGTCAGTCATGTCGTCACTCGCAGAACAGAAAACTTTTTTATTTCTATTCAATCTACTTGACGTAGTCATGTGTATGTTTTTAATTCCATAATTCGTGATATGCGTAAGCCGAATATGCAACAATTAGACGAATGGATAGCTAAAAACATCGAGAAAATGCTACATAGTGTACAATCTGAATTTTACCTTGTTTACATTTCAATAAGTACAGTTTTTTTTTTAGCACAGTGTTCGTTTCTTCACCTAATTTATTTCGATTGATTTCATCCAGATGATTTTTATTGGTGACAACGACCATTTGTCATTTGATTCTAATGTGTATGAGGATTTAAGGGATGCCTGTATCGCAGATGAGTTTGAAACATATGTGATCTAATAGGCTTCTCATTATCTGCACCTGAAACCTGATTTTGTAGACAGTATCCAATACACTTCGGTGTATGTGTTTGCGTATTTTCCAAAACAATCGGACAAAATATTCCAACAGATTCTAGGCGACGTTTCAAAATTATCATCAGTGATTAGATGAAATACAGATTCCTATTTTCACTAATATGCTATTTTTTTAACTTCAATTCTTCGAGTAAACGTCCAATATGTAGATTTCTAGAAACAGAGTTAATAAGGCTGTGAATGGTGACTTAGTAATGTTTCAAAATGAAGGGATGTACCAAACTTTTATTTCAGTCATTTTGATTTGCCTAGAATTACAGTGAATGATATCACAGAAGAGTGAATGTCCCACCGAATTAAAAAAATGTGAAGTATGTCAGTGTGCACAGTGTATTTTGAATATTCGGCTTCCAAGTGAGGGTTAAAGATGGGCCAAAAATACTACTCTCTTTAGATACCATTTTTACGAAATTAGTGGACTTTCTATGGTATCTGACCGAGTGAAAGTTTACGAGTTACGTAAAAATGGTATCTAACGAGAATGAATGTGGTATTTTATATTACCCACGTTAAATATATATTAAAGTGTAATTACATAACAACTTACGTTCGTTGACAGACCAAACTGAAACCGTTTGCAAAATCTGGTTGCGCATGAATAGTGATATATTGTTTACATTTCTATGCATACGCCTTAACAACACGCGCCTGCAGTTGTGTTTGGAAACACAACATCGCCAACGCTCAAGATCCTTTTGGAATAATTTCACGTAAGCGCCACGTACGCTTTGGACAAACAGTCGGTCACTCGCACTGCCCGTATCCGTGCTGTGCAATCAAAATGGTTCGGTTTCCTTTATCTATCAGCTGAATTAATATCACGTCCGTACCATTTTGGAAGAGGAAAATTAGAGTGTTCGCCAAAGGCATTTTGTTAACTGAACCACCCTATACTGAAGACATGAAAATCAACAAACTCAGGTCTGCTTTCAATGTCATGGACAGCTTCAAACGAAGGGCAAGGACACCACCGTAACAAGAAAAGACAACAGTGATCTTCTCACAGCGTTTATCACATTTGGGATATTTTGGGCCACATTATCAGGAGTCAGGCACACTTCCACGGAGTTTTCGAATGATTTGTATCGGAAATGTTCAGTTTGAGTGATCTGGTAGTGCAGTCGTGAACAAACTCCCGAAACAGTCCCAAAAACTACGCTGCAAAGGGGACACTGATATATGTAGATATATGTACAGCTAGTTTAAACTGTCTTCAAGTCACCATGCTCATCCATTTACGTTAAGTCTAATTGAAAGTTGGGAAAGTGGTCGGGTGCGTCACGCTCATGGGGACCCTCGATCTCGGTAGTGGTACATTGTAAATGGATAAAGCTCGATTATACAATGTCTGTTGAAGCTCTATGTATAACCTGCGCTCATGAGATTGCTTCATTTCTGTCTTGTAGTTGCAAAATTAATGACGTCTCGTGGAAAAAAAGTAGTCCCTCTGTGAAAGAGGTCACGGTTATCCAATCAAAACGAATAAAACAAAGTCAAATTGTACGACACACGTGTGACGAACGGATTTAGTATCTTACCACCTGTATCTTCAACACGTGGGTAATAAGGATCGATGTGGCATTGAGGGGATTTAGACTCTAAAAAATGTTCAACACAAACGGAGGTGAACATTCAACTTAAGCACATGCGACTTATCAATGACTTACGATCAAGAAAGTAGTCCGTCATAAGCTGACCACAGCTCATCACCGTGGAGTAGCAAATCACAGGCAAGGAAACCGATCTCACACACATGTTTAACAGTTATCTCAAATGAGTTTTTCATCCACAGGTGTGTACAAATCCCATTTCTGGTGAATCCCGCCGTGTTATGGCTTGAATATTGCTAAAACGGCGTACAACCATACTCACTCACTAAAGTTGGTTAATACATATTAATAAAGCGACACAATCCCTTTTATACTCATCAGAAATATCTACTGACAGAAGAGTCCATTGTATGAATTCAACTCAATCGTAAGCATTTGTTGATGAATCTCTGTCAATTAATTTGATTCGGTTGAAGACAGTATATACTCCTCACAAAAAGTTCAAGTATTATTTTCCGTGCAACATTCTCATCAGTGTTGAATGCCATCCATTGAGAACAAATTCTGGCAGGAGAATTACCTACGAATACTCGACTTAAAGCCCTTTCCATGTAGATGTTCCTGATAACACTGATAACATCGCCTGAACACAACCACCCTCAAAACACACACGCAAAATGCACGACATGCATGTTTTACACACTTCACTCATGCACCCTGATTGCTTAAAAACTGCCAGCAAGGTCAATTTGTCGACATTAACACATTAGACATGGCTAGGCCTCACTTAAAGCCAACTGAGGCTGCTCAGATTGTTGGAATGGTACAGGGGGTCTCACCCGAACTGATGTTGCCAATCATTTTAATGTTCACCGCAGTGTCATCCCAAGAGCGATAACTCGATACCATCAAACGTGACTGATGACAGAGAGACCATGCACAGGTCGTCCAAGGGTGACAACTCCTTGTGAGGACCGGTATTTAGCCACCTTAGCCCGGAGAAACAGGTTTACTACGGCCAGATCTCTCCAGAATGACCTTCAGAGAGTTGCAGGAAACAGAGTCTCAACACAGACAGTAAGAAACAGACTTCACGCTCAGGATGTGAGGTCCAGACGACCAGTACGACGTATCCCAATGCCTGCACACCTTCGACAACATGTAATCAACGCCGTAACTGGAGGGTCAATCGCTGGCGTAACGTTCTCTTCACAGACGAGTAAGGATTCTGCCTTGACTTCAACGATGGTAGGGCACGTGTGTGGAGAAACCGTAATGAACGATACGCCAACTGTACAGTTGCTGAACACGACCAGTACGGAGGTGGAAGTTTGATGATCTGGGCTGGCATCAGGGTTGGAGACAGAACTGATCTTGTGGTCATCAGACGTGGTACCATGACTGGAGTACGGTACTGGGACGAGATTGTCACACTTGTGATCATTCCCCTGGCACAACAAGCAGGTCCTAACTTCATCTTTATGGATGATAATGCTTGTCAACATCGAGCAAGAGTTGCCACTGATCTTCTTCAGACCAACAACATCACGCATATGGCCTGGCCTGCAAGGTCTCCGGATCTTAATCCCATTGAACATGCATGGGACATTCTTGGAAGGCGTGTTTATGGTCTTCATGTTCGTCCTCAGAATCTGGATAAACTTGAACAGGCCTTAAGGAGAGAATGGCAGAACATTCCACAACAGACACTTGATAAGCTTATCTGGTCAATGCCAAGACGTGTAGAAGCTTGCATTCAAGCCAATGGTGGACATACACGTTACTGAACATTGGATCATCGTTTCAAAATGACTTAAACTGCAACTTAAAGATTTTCATCTTTAACTGCAGCACATTTTGCACGACTGTTTTCATGATACTGTTTATGATCATTTGTAAACCTGTTAGGCATAAACGCTTTTCAGTTCCTTTGAGGACAATGTGTGTTTGTGCTCTTTCTTTTTATTGCTTTAGTCAGTTTTTAGGTATTGTAATATTTGACCATTGACTGACACATTATAGATTTGTTGCTTAACATTTTGTGAGGAGTATATGTTCAAGTGTTTTCACACATCAGCTGTGATGAAGCATGCAAGCTCTGTCAGCCTGTTCTGTTAACTTAAAATAAACTCACTCCCACGTTCATGATCAGCTCTACTAGTCTGGGGAAATACAACAAGTGTACACAATCTCACTAATATATACATTTTTTTAGAGATAATATCAGTTTGAAAGTTCTAGTCAGATGGTGAAGTATTCAGAGCGATCATACAGTGCGGTTCTGTGTTGATATCTATTCTTGATTGGCTGTGTTGTGTGAACTTTCAAGAGGTTCAAAGATCTCCATCAGAATCCTAATGGTATCATTCCTTCTTACCAGCTCTTCTGGACTGGAGCTCTGTGACATTCTCTCCACAACTGACTTCTCTCCCGTCCTCTGTGACCCCACAGAACACTATCTCCGTCAAGGTGACCACCCCGTGTGCTACCCCTGCCGCCGTCATCACATGGAGATACCAACAGGTGGGAACTGTATGCTCATCTTGATGTATTAGATCATCTTATGTGTTTGGTTTCATTAACATGATTGTTTCATTTTAGCTCATCCAGACATTACCCATGGGCCCCACCACCTGTACCTCATGACTGACTAAAAAGCTTTTCTCCTAATATACATAAATACAATTTGTTTTACATATCTCACCCTCCTCTACTTCACCAACCTCCTCCATTTCCTCAACTCTGTATATTGACCCCTGTGTTAAAACTTACACTTTGGCTCTGTACTCCTCCTCCGAACCTTTCACCTCCTCTTCTCACCACTCAGGGTTAGTTAAAGCTTTTCCTCGTTACGCAGAAGACCCGGGTTCGAATCCCGAAATTGGTACAAATGTGAAGCCCATTTCTGGTGTCCCACACCATGATATTGCTGGAATATTGCTATGAGTGGCGTAAAACCATCCTCGACAACTCATTCCTCATCTCTCACCCATCTCCTCGCGCCTCACCCATCCTCACCTCTCGTCACTCCTCAACTCTACCGCCCTTATCACCACTTTTCACCCTCTCCTCACCTCCCACACTACTCCTCGCCTCTCATCCTCCTCCTCGGCTATGTAATAACTGATAGAATATGTTTCTTTCAAATTAAGGCATCATTTTTTTCACTTGTGATACATGTTCTCCACTAAGCAATCCCCTGCAGCGACTACTTTCACCTGATGATATTTACGGGCAACTTCAGGCACATCTTGTCCGAGGTACCTCTGGGGATCCACAGCTGTGCCTCAACAAATCACTAATCAGATCCAAAGCCATAATAATATCTATAAGCCCTACTACAGGTGCACCAACAGGTACTTTATTAGAAGCACATGATCATCAAACCCTGTTTAAATATCAAAAGTCACTGAAAAAGAAAAACCCTACTACGATCAGCAGCCATCCCTAATATTCGTAACCTTCCTTGCAAAAAAAATATGGCGAGACAAAAACACAAGAGATGAAGCCCAAGTTTGGAAAATCCTTCATTGAAGCCATCTCGAAGGCACATCTGTGCCTGGGTTAAGGGGTACAATTGGGATGACATTCAGCCATCAAAAAGTCATAACAAAGGGCTATACACACCCTGGACTGTAAACGAGCCAAATGTTACCACTGCTTTAACATCAGAAGTCACAGAAAAAGAAAAACCAACCCAACTACGATCAGTAGCTATCACTAAAATCCGAAATACCTGAGACAGTTGGGCCCATATAAACACTGATGGATCTAAGAATCCAATCAACAACACAGCTATTTAGGGGAGCCATATTCATTACCAAACCCCAAGTACATTCAGTCCACCTGCCTAACGGTCAGTCACTATTTAATACTAATAAGGAGGAAAATCATTACGCATTCAAAACTTGCTAAGTGCACGACTAGCAGCAGAAACTCAAACTCAAGACCAAATACAGTCAATAATATTATATATGAATATACAAAATCATCGGACCATGGCAAACAGCCGAAGGTGTGTTTGGTCCCGTCTCGCATATATATTCATGGAAATGAAAAAGCATACACACTGGCGGAGCAAGCTCTAGACAATGCATTATGACAAGGTCTGCCCATCTTACAACAAGCCTGAATCTATTGCTCATTTGAGACTGAAATGTCCAGACCATGCCCAAACGTCTGCAGCAACAAGTGATGTGGCTTTTAAAAGTCTGTCTTTTATAGCCCTATTCTGCATGCTTCCCGTGAAACAAAACACGTTTTCTATGACGCGCACGCAATTTTTTGCGTTTTTGAGATGTCGCTCACAAACAAATTAGGAATGTGTTTTGACGAGCTGTTGTTCTTCATGCTTTGTCCAGAACGTCGTATATTACTCATTCACTTATATATTTTCATATGTCTTAAGCCCGGATAAAAATACATCCAATTTCACGGTGGTGCGTTTTCAATGCTGTTCAGTATACTATATTAATATTAATACTGCACAATACTACACTATCAGTTATGTAAACCATGAACTGTTAATCATACACCAAGCGCAATTCCCATGTAAAATGTAAATACTGGACACTAAGCTCAAGCCTATTTCTGCAAGAGAGAAAACAGTACTCTTACCTTATTTACACTCAGAGATGAATTCAATTACTGTTTTATTATGCATTTACCATTATTCCCACAGTCAGATCACAACATCAGGCGAATAGGATTATGTGACACTCTCTATCCACTATCATTATGTCGTAAGAAAAGAACTAGTTCTGGAATTTGACCGAAATCGACAAAGGTATGAAATATTCCAAAGCATGTTCTGAGGAAATTTTTTTTTTAATAACAAACCCTTTCTATCCAATTATTTGATATCATGTCTTATCACTGAATAAAGACGAGCTTCTCTACCTGTAGTACTCAGGATAAGTATTGCTCATTATTTCACTAAACTGAAACATCAGACAGTGTCTCTCCAACTACTGTTTTGTGTTTGTGTGGCGTTATTACTGTCTCTGCCAGGAACACCGCCAGTCTCACTTACTACTGTTTTGTGTTTACAGGGTGTGAGTGGCGTCCTTCCCAGCAGTACATCTTCCTCCCAGGTATCATGTCCATCAGGCCAGGTCCAGACAACCAACTCTCTGTCACTACCAGGAACACAGCCAGTCTCACTTACTACTGTTTTGTGTTTACAGGGTGTGAGTGGCGTCCTTCCCAGCAGTACATCTTCCTCCCAGGGATCATGTCCATCAGGCCAGGTCCAGACAACCAACTCTCTGTCACTACCAGGAACACAGCCAGTCTCACTTACTACTGTTTTGTGTTTACAGGGTGTGAGTGGCGTCCTTCCCAGCAGTACATCTTCCTCCCAGGGATCATGTCCATCAGGCCAGGTCCAGACAACCAACTCTCTGTCACTACCAGGAACACAGCCAATCTCACTTACTACTGTTTTGTGTTTACAGGGTGTGAGTGGCGTCCTTCCCAGCAGTACATCTTCCTCCCAGGGATCATGTCCATCAGGCCAGGTCCAGACAACCAACTCTCTGTCACTACCAGGAACACAGCCAGTCTCACTTACTACTGTTTTGTGTTTACAGGGTGTGAGTGGCGTCCTTCCCAGCAGTACATCTTCCTCCCAGGGATCATGTCCATCAGGCCAGGTCCAGACAACCAACACTCTGTCTCTGCCAGGAAACACAGTCAGTCTCTACAACAGACAGGTGTCTCTCACTGTCAGTGTGGAACATGACTCCTTTGACCCGCCCACGTACACAAAGTCTGTCACTTCAAATACAATACAGTTTCCTGGTGAGTGCAAATCAACTCCAAGTCTACCTGTTGTTGACTCAAGGCCCGTATTGTAGCAGCAGGAAAAAGAAGTTTCACGTAGTCGAAAGCAAAGAGAGTTCTTGGAAAATTCTTGGAAGTTGACAATACTTTTCAAAATGATTATATGTGTATGTCGCAGTGAATCCATCTCATCCAGTGCGTTTTAAATAAAACATAGATGCCAGAAATGAGAAGTTACGAAACGGGATCTATTTTACTTTTATGCCTGAACAAGGGAAACGTTGACCATGTCAATGGGTAATGATTGGGTAATGATACGCATACTTGGGTGGAGTTCAATGTTTGTTAGTGTCCGTTGATTTGAGACACACATAGTTGTGTCGGTATTAGCATTCACAATATATTAAACAGTAGATTTTAATACAAATAACAATATAGAAGTAGGAGATTAACCTGTTATATTTTAAGTGTAGACGTATTCTGCCAATGATGATACGCGACCATTACAGTTATTTTTTTCGTAATAAATATGTAAAGGTAAAATGATGAGTGACGTGGCATTGGTCAAGTATAATGTTTTAGTTGTGTTGAATGGAAGTTGTCACCATATTGATAGAGTTCATTGTGGGTATTCCTGCTTTTGTAATTCAAACCATACCTTCCTGTATTTAACTCTCTCCAATATAGGAAAGAGCAACCCTCTAGCAGATTTCCTGTATTCATTCTCCATACAGTTTCATTTGGGGAAACTGAGGGAGGCAACCCTTGTAGCAATTAGTTCTAAATAAATACACCACTTTTATGAGTTTATATTGTTCTACTGACACGTGTGCCAAAATATTGTGAACGGGCAAACACGACCTCACCGTCCGTAATCTACTAGTGCTAAATATACATTTCCTACTCGTCGGTTTTGTGAAAGAAGTGCTTCCTGAGAAATATTTTCACTCATCAGCAAAAGCATGTAGATTCCACACACCTGGCTGACCAATCAAAATGCAGGATTCCAACATGTCATGGAAAAAAACCCATCATATGCATGCCAAATAAATGTGTTTATAGTCCAGTTGCTGTCACAGTTTGTCAACAATATATTCATGAAGTAGTTTCTCTTATCATTAGCAGATATTCTTAAAAAAACAAACAAAACAGGCTGCAGTTTCACATTCCTTCAAATCCATCTTTCAATTAATGCAATGTTGTTACTATCTGCTAAGACGGAAACGTGTCGATTTGTTACCCGCACATGAGGTCTTATTTCCTATATGTTTCATGAAAGCATGAGGATATTATTACGTGTTTACCAAATTAATTCAGATATAAATTATGATATGGCCTTGAAATAGTTCATGTTTAGATATGTAAAGGACTGCTATTTGATATCAAGTGCCAATGTTTTCACGTCTTACAGTCCCAGTAACGTCTGTGACACTGACAAACATCAACTCTGATTATGAGAAGATAGGACAAGCAGTGGGTCAACCGCTGACCTTGACCTGTGTGACTTCAGCCAGCTTCCCGACTTCTGCTGTGACCTGGGTGACCTTGCCATCAGGAACCACTCCTACAGTCAGCACAGAGACGACATCTGGTGTCCTGGTGAAGACCACAAGCTCCGTCACATTCACGGTCAGTAAGACTGACCAGGGGAGGAGCATTCACTGTCAGGCTGAAAACATCAACGGTCAGACATCCCCACAGTCTAACAGAGCAACACTGGAGGGTTGGTGTAAGTAGACATAGTCGAACATAGACACACTGGAGGTTTGGTGTAGATTAACATGTATCTATTAGGTTTGGTGTAAGTAGTCCCAGTCTAACAGAACTACACTAAAGGTGTAAGCAGATATATGTATCTATCAGGGGATCAGACGCAGTCTACCAGAGCAATTATAGAGCTTTGTGAGAGTAGAACTAGACGAGAGGCTTTGAAAAGTAGAAATCGTCTTACAGAGCCATACTGGAGACTTGTGTCGCAGCCACACTGGATGTTTAATGTCGTAGATACATGTATGTATTAGTGGTCAGATACTATTCGTTATAGTGTCTTTAGTTGCCTAAGATGACACTGTATACGGCAACTAAAGACACCATAACGAATTTATTATGCTGAAAAGTTTACACTATTTGGTATCTTTGTCGCACATGTCATGTCAAAATGAAAACTTGACACTTAGAACCGGTATAAACGGCAGGACCAGTACATATCTTTCCGATAAAATGCTCTAATGTAAATATAAACGTTAACAATGGAATATATAATGCACTAAATGTGAATGGTTTAAGTACAAGAGCTAAAATGGATAAAATTTTCATAACAATGCCCAACATGTAAACATAAATCTGCGGGCCACTGTAACTTGATAGCAGTCCGCTTTCCCGTAACGACAGGATGCTATCTATTCTATTGCTATGTGACGTGATTGGCGTCACGTTTCTTGTTTGTGACGTCATCCTATAGTATGTTCTATGACGTTGCTATTTGTAACTCAATGACCTCCGTTGTAAGCTTTTTCTCTCTATTTTTTATAAATAAAGTCACGAACGTGGATTCTTTCATAAATAATGTCTGTTCTCATCACAATTAGTGATATTAAAAAACAAAACAGTATCGAATAACGAATTTCTGTACCAGAATTACCATGTGAAATATGTGAGGTGGGTGTTGGAAAATTCAAAATGGCTGTTACTGACGGCATATGGTCTCATATTAGGTCAGTAACAACCATCTTGGATTTTTACTTACGGTATACGGGCTCATTTGGGTTCAGTAGTTCTACTCTCTGATTGGGGCAATCTCACTTTGAGGCATAATAAGGTCTGATATAGCAATGCTATAGCTTTCGTGAGAGCTGAAATATGTCTATCAGAGCAACGCTGTATTCAGGCAGGCAACACAGTAGTTATATATCATTATTCCGTTTTCCAGTTGGACCAGAACAGGTTGACGTCACAATGCCCGACAAAAGTGTAGTTTTCGAGAACAGAAACCTGACCTTAACCTGTACTACCACCGCCTATCCCAACCTGACCTTCATCTGGGACTACAGTGATGGAACACCTGTAGGTGGCAACACAGGGTCTGTGTCAAGGTCGTCTACATGGTGGTCCCAAACCCTCACCTTCAAGCCTTATAAAGACAAGACAGCTGTGAGATGCCAGGTCAGAAACACCAGAACATCGGCAACACAGACTGGTTCTGTGTCCCTGGATGTCAAGTGTGAGTGTTCAAAGATGTTTCCCTTTTATTCAGAGCATTCAGGACATTATCAGTTTCTTTAGAAGTTACAAAACAGAACCTTTATGCACAACTCTTCCTCCCTGCAACGGCTGGACATCATATTGTGACTTTGTTCACTGCATGATAACAAACGAGGAAGGTCTTCACAATTACATCTCTTACTTATGTCATTTATAGTAACCAGGGCACGGGGGGCTCAGTCGTCTAAGGCGTCACGATTCGCTCTTTGGAGTTGCATCCTTTGGGTACGCCAGAAACCTATGGGTGTTGGTTCGAATCCCGGTTCACCCCGATTATGTTTTTGGGTTTGTCAGCATCATACCCGTGCTCATGAGTTTTACCTGGTAAACGTTTTAGGCCTGCATCAATTAGGGCTTCCCTCCTTCATTAAGCTGACACGCCAGTGATATGACTGGACTACTGTTAAAAGCGGCGTTAAACCCAAATCACTCACTTATAGTAACCGTCTTCATTGTTCCTGTTTAAGACCCCCCATCTGACCCTCCTTCCATCACACAGTTTGAGACTGTGATGTTTGAAGGAGACCCGGAGACTATCAGCTGCTCGGTAACAGGAGGAAATCCTCTAGCTACTATCATGTGGTCCTGTCCGGGCGCCGGAGTAGCATCGGTCAGTGACAGTGGTCAGACCAGGACATCTACTCTCTCCTTCACTGTTAGCAGGAGTCAGAACGGTCAGCAGTGTCAGTGTCTGGGGTCGTGGCGGTATGGAGGATACATATACAACCTCTCTGTTGTTAGGACCTTCAATGTCAGTTGTGAGTATCTTTTACTGTTTCTTGAGGAAGCGATAGGTGCAATGGTTAATTCCCCTTCATTAACGTATGTATGGAGTGTGTAGCATGTCTGAAATCAGGGATCCCTGAACATGCCACAAATTGACAGCATTGCCAAGAATCCCCCCAAAATAATGTTCATCACATCTGTATATCACTCATTGACTAACAATTTGTAAAAATGATGTAACACGAATTAACCACCAAAAAGTGACGGTAGATTGATGGTTGTATATCTTCAGGTGTGCGATCTCCTGTCCTGTAGCTTGCTGAGGATAAAGTAAAAATATGTACAAGCTCTTTTACCGCAACCTTTCCTGTCTCAGTGTTGTACAATAGCTAAATGTTGCAGTTAATAACAATAGACCTCTGCAGAGATCCATTACTGTCATTGTATGTGGGCATGGGAATGGAAATAAGTTGTGTTGTCTTTGGAATCGATGGCATTTTAGAATCAATGTATGATGTATGATACCTATATCAAGCACTCTGTCTTCAGTAAATATGAAATCAATACGTATTTCATGTGGTACTTATTATATATTGCAGGTCCAACAAACCCACAACCACTCAATGCCGAATATAACATGGCAGGTGTAATAGCAGGAACCACAATAGGAACCCTCTTTCTCACCCTGCTAATTGGAGGGATAGTTATGACGATCTTCTATAGGAAGGGGTTCAGGTTTGGAAACGTCTTGTCAGGTATATTGTCAAATCTCATTTTTATCATTTAACAGTATTACAGATGGAATCAGAAGTGGTGTGGGGATATTTACAGACGGGAAGTTTCCTTTCAAAGTGACGTCAGTCGATAAACATGAATGATATGTGTAAAATTGTAAAGTTAGAAACAGATCTAAATCATTCCTGACTGAGTGACAGAATGAGCACATCCACTTTGGGTATGAATATAAATAATTAATAAGGATATACCGTTGTAGACCAGTAACTGCTTATGTGCAGTATGTTGTTTTGTTAAGTCATATTAAGAAATATTAAGCAATGTACATTGAATTAATAACAAAAACATGTTAACTCATGTTTGTGTGATGAAGTCATTCACTCTTCCCGTTTTGATTTGTGATGTGTGTATTACAGTGTACTATATATGAAGTCTCTATTTTTCAGGAACCACTTCACAAAAAAGGTAGACATGATGTATGACTAAAACGTTTTAACAATAATTTCCTTTGATGTAAGGTAAATGTCCTTTAAAATTAGAGAGTAATAAAACATGATATGAAGGTGCGCCTTTCCATTATTAATTGTCATAAACCGATCTTACTTACTGTTGTAGCACCAGAAATCCTGAAATTGAAGAAATGGAAAACATAGGATATTCATCTTTGGGTAGGTTGAAGTAAGCATTGCCGGTCAGATAGATTGTTTGGGTCACGAATATGCCTGAGCCTACTCCGCGCTGATACCGTTATTATATGTTCGTACTGATTTGTTATAGATCATGTCAACAGTCCAGCTCAGAACTCAAGCATGGATAAAGAGGCGTCTGAAAACCAACATTACACACAGTTGAAGATTTATGAGAATACAAACGGTAGATTGATACTTTGACATTATATACATTGCAGTTGTCAGTCGTAAACTCAGTACTGCCAGGTTATCGGCATGCTATGAAACGTTGTTTTGCGTTCAGATGAGTTTTCAACATTTGAATTTGTTCTTCTGAAATGTGTTACGAATCATATTTTCAGTCGAGCCAAAAGGAGAGACAAGCACCTACGAAGAGCCTCCTGTATCTTACGAGTCCATCATTGCATCTCCTTACCAGAACAGTACCTCTCAACCTTCAGGTATCCACAGCTTATAATATCTATACGTCTCAGAAGAATGTAAGCTCGAATAATAAAGTGTATACAAAAAGCGATCTACGGTTTCAAACACATAGCTTTGTTTTCTCCCCTGTTCTGTTCTTATATTTTGACTTTTGGCACAATCTGTACTCAATAATGTGACACAATTATATTAATACCTTCACTTTTTCTGATGCAATTTCAGATCCTGACTATAGGAACAAGTAAACACGCACTGGATGTGATAACATCACTGGACAGTATTGCACGGCGCGTGAACTGAACATTGTGTTTACCATTCACGAATTCAATCTGATTCAGTGTCATTTTCATGTCAATATCCATTGTTATTTAATATATTATGTGCGTTGCTTATACTATCTAATAGCATATGAGATTGTTATATATTATAACACTTGCAGGGACTATATACAAACATTCTGGTACTAATTTCGATCCAAGTTTGGATAGTGGTCATCATAGTGTGTGGTTTTGGTATAATAGATGAGCACATGCAATGAATCCTATGAATGATCTCAAATAGGAAAATGTATTGACTCTATAAAGCGTCCCTTTGAAATTGAAATTATTTATAAAAGTTAGCAAACTTCAGTTAACTTACTATATCTGACGAGGAACTGAATTATAAATGGTTTATCATGTACGAAATCCTGTCAAATAGGTTGGCTGGTAGCCTACCCAACTCAACATCTCAAGACTATCTCTTCAATTTCCAATTGTACGGATATGCCTGTTATGTTTCTTTCTCAAACTAGCGCGCTCTATAAACACACAATCCTGACATGAGCCTGACTCATCAGTACTACAGTTAATTGTAGCCTGGCTTTGTAGCTGCAACTGCAAACTAACTGAGTTCA